GGGGGGGGGGGGCAAAATGGTCTTTGATTGTATTTAATGGTTGAAATTAATCAGTTTCAGAGTTGAAAAGTGAGGGGGGGGGGCGTAAATATGAATCTTGTCCCCTGACGCCAAACATTGTAGATACGCCCTTGCTAGTGGCGTCGAAACAGGCCGGATGGGGTAGTCCACCGAGGCGTCATTTTTTCTTGCATGCAGGTGGGGCATTTTCGGAAACTGCAGAGTTTTTATCGTGAAAGGGAGGGTGACAAAAATATTTGCCCGCCCATGGCGGCACCAATAGTAACTACTCTACTAGGCTGTGTAACTATGGATCGTGGATCATTTTCATCGGGAAGTACGGCAGAAATTGAGTGTGTCGATGAATCTCGGTCGGTGGAGGGGTCTGGGAGCATGCTCACCAGAAACTTTTTGATTATTTCAAAGTCAAGAGGTGTACTTTGTGTATACTTGAATTCAATGTTTCTTTTATACTTTTTGAACGGGGAAAGACATTTGATGGTTTGGTTTTGTGGGGGGCATTATGGTGCGCAGTGCCATACATGAACTGAATTCACTTCGTTTGTGGCGTGCCCCAGAGTAATCATTTGGCACAACATTATAATCAACCCTTTACTGTATTATTGGACAGCGTGAGTGAAGGTGGTGCAGAAATCTAAGGTACTAAAGACAGTCGGGCAAACTTAAAATGCAAGTGTGCATTTTGGCGCATACTTGAATTTGTTGTTTCTTTCAGAAAATTTTGAAGTGCCATTTCAAACTTTCGGATGGGAAGTGCCAAATTAGCCATAATAATGATAAAAGACATTTAATTTTAAATTCCGCACCAGTGGTACGTAAACTAAATTCATTCTAGTTGTGTCATCCTTGAGGGTAAGCTTTTGTCCTTGAATATTCTCGCCCCTTAAATCTTTATAAACCCAAGAATTATTTTTATTAATTCAAAATACAATAACATTAAATTTAGTTTTGCAGCATTCTACACTTACTTGGAGAGCAACAGAAAAAATCCTAGTTAAAAAATGTAGGTGTCTCTTAATCTTAGAACCATGGTGTTCGCCCAGCAACCCTTACGATGCAGGGTTCCTCAGATATTTTAGGGTCTAAAGATCTGATGAAAATATATTTTTTTAAATTATCATCTTTCAATGCAGGGGAAGAAAAAAAGTAGGGGTGGTTGGAGGGGCGGGGGGGCGCAAAACACACACACACACACAAATTGTATATTACTAAAAATAGTAATATGGCTTTTATTTTTTTACATTATTGGAGGGGATAGAGACTTAATTAATTAAAAGATTTTAGCACATAAAAATCCCCTCACCTTAGGAAAGCCTTGCAAAATTGAAATATTAAAATTTTCTATTTTAAAATAAACATCAACACACATAGTCGTATGTCATGAATTGTAAAATCGTGTTAATCGCGGTCCACAATTTTTTTTTAAATTTCAATAGATCTAGCACTGTTTCTTTCAGAAATGTTCACCCGGGGGGGGGGGGGGGGGGTTTCTAGTTTTCAGATTTTCGGGGGGGGGGGGTTGAGAGGATTGTTTATATATTAAATAATTATCATGAAGCGCAATACCAAGGTATAAACCCTAACTAACCAATTTCCATTTTTTAAAATCATTTTGAAGGTCCCGTTGACAAAATGTGCCAATGAGTCCAATGCTGGCACTGATTAGGGGTTATCTTCTTTCTAAATTAAATTATGAGACTAAATTCCAATAAACATGAAACCGGAAGTAATGTTCTAAATATAGATTAGTGATTCAGCATTGTTTTTAGACTTTCTTTGAATAAACATTGGGGAATTCCCGAACACAGGTCTGCTGAGGCTATCGTTAGGAAACACGTAAATAACTCTGTTGCTTTGGTTACTTAAACGTTTGAGGTACGATGAATTTTTATTGCTCATTCTAAAGTGATACAGCGAAAATAATGCTTTAAATAGTGGTCAGTTGAGTGATATGGCTTATTTCATGTGATGGCGCTGGTAGCAGTTAGTCATAACGGTGACAAGCTCATCAACATCTGGTAGGCTACTTTATATATTACTTGATTTCTGGTGTGGGAATTCATCGCTTCTCATCAAACATTGATTCAGTTGACTTGACTTATCTAGAAATCAGTTAATATCGCTCAAGCAAAACAATATTCGCCTGAAGTACAATTTGAAGTATCCCGAGTTAACCATTAAACCAAAAAAAAAAAAAAAAGATACGTGATCAAGGGTGTCGGGAGTAAAGGGGCGCCACAAAATACACAAGAAAAAACAATCCGAGTTTCTTAAACAAAATCCAATATTTATTTCAGAGCTAATTATTTTAGCACACTAAAAATTGGAGATATGTTCGATACTAAATGATGTGCCATTAATGTCACTTTAGAATGTTAGGGTCATGCTGCACAGATACGCCATAAGGGATTCATCATAAGAAACTAAATATTTTTTTTGTTGACCTTTTTGTTTTTTTTTTTTTTTAAAAATTTATATTAAAAATTATTACCCCCCCCCCCCCCTAAAATAACATGTCCATAAAAATTGTGAAGATTTAAATTTAAATCATTTGCTAGTATACTTTCTTTTGTAGGGGGTTGCAACACTGGCTTCATGCTTTATCAGTACTAAGCATAGATGTTATATGGAAAATTAGTTCATTGAAGGGGATCAACGATTTTGCTATTAGAAAATATTGGAGAAAGTTCCTTTTTTTTTACAAAATATTTAATGGGAGTAAATATGAACGTAATATTCTGTCTTAAGCGTCAGTAGTCTTTAGCTCTGTAATATTTTGAATCGGGCACCAAAATTGCTCGTGTGCATAGTTCCCCAAAATTGCTCATATGCATAGGGTATCAAAATCGCTTAGATGCACAGGGCACCAAAATCCCTTAATCCGGCACTGCTTCTAGGCCAGCACACATTTTGAGCCCACTTTTTTTTTTTTTTTTTTTTTTTTTTTTTTTTTTTTTTTTTTTTTTTTTTTTTTTTTTTTTTTTTTTTTTTTTTTTTTTTTTTTTTTTTTTTTTTTTTTTTTTTTTTTTTTTTTTTTTTTTTTTGTTCCCTTTTTTTTTTTTTTTTTTTTTTTTAAGGTGAATCGATGCAGTTCTATTTCGAGCGCTCTATCATTCTGTTAAGTCTGGTGTGAGTGGAGAGTATTTGCTCGGTGCCAAACTCGCAAACTCAAATCAATTAATACCATTCGTCAGGGATTAATAATACTAAAATTTATTAAAGTGTTGAATATCGGCACACCAAAGTGCAATACTTGTCTGTAACACGAATTTCGGCATTTTTAAAGTCCCTAATTTTATTTTCTTTTGTTTAACTGCCATGTTTACAATACACTGCCTTATTTACTTGTCGATTTTCATACTCTCGAAATTGCATTTAAAAAATTGCGTTAAAAATGTACAGTTTAATGTGCGCAATTTTTGGTGTGGTAAAATAGTAGATGGTCACAATTGTCTGCCTATATTCACAATTGTCTATGTTCACAATTGTCTGTGTGCCCATTTTCGATGCAGCATTAGACTCATTAGTCGGTGTGCGTGAATTTTTTGAGTGTGTAATTGTCTGTACTCGTATTTTTGCAGTCATGACTATGTTAACGTGTGCGCATTTGTCATGTGCGCATTTTTTTTTAAAATTATTTCTCACTTGTCATGTGGGCACTTGTCATGTGCGCATGTGAGTGACTAGTCACCGGGAATACTTGAAGCAATGTTCTTAATAATCATTAACACCGGTACCACATAATATCGGGTAAACCCGTTTCACGGCCATCAAACATATTAAAGAATAAGATGCATTCAAGGTCATTAAAAACTGGAAAAATCTAAATTCTTGAGAAGTAATATCGGGTAAATCCGTTTGACGTTGCGAGAAAAAGATAGAGAGAAGGTGGAGGGAAGTAACAACATTATCGAGGAGAATAACCTTAAAAAAAAAAAAAAGAGGTAACTGCGCATGATATAAATAGGGGCCGGCGGTTCTTCTAAAAATCTAAATTCTTGAGAAGTAATATCGGGTAAATCCGTTTGACGTGGCGAGAAAAAGAAAGAGAGAAGGTGGAGGGAAGTAAAAACATTATCGAGGAGAATAACCTTTAAAAAAAAAAAAAAAGAGGTAACTGCGCATGATATAAATAGGGGCCGGCGGTTCTTCTCCGCAGTAGATAATCTTATATAATTTGAGATCGAGTGAGGTTCATGTTCTTATGAAAGTTTATTGATACTCCGCCACCAATTTCAGGTAGACTTCCTTTTAACATAAATTATATATATCTGTATTATATAGTATCTGTTTAGCACAAGTGCAGTCTAAACATATTTAGCACTTTCGATTTCAATACTTTTTTTTTTTTAAACGTTAATTTTATTTGTATTATAATTGTTAAGTATTATTATGTTATTTTAACATCTATTTTAAGAGTGACACCAGAGAGGCAGGCGACGCTACTCGTTTGGCTGGAGGAGGTTCTTGCAACGTTCTCATCACACTCGTTTTCTACTTTCAATCTTGTTGTTAAATTCTCATTTTTAACTTGGTAAACTCTGTGTCCTAAGATAAGCAACGCTATTGTTGACTATACAGTTTTAATCGTTGTATTGATTTCACGATTAATGTCACAATCCTCGGCGTCGAGTATCCTTGACTTGACGCAAAATTGGTCTTAAATTATTATTTTTTTCTTTCTTTTTTCTTTTTTTTTTTTTTTTTTTTTTTTTTTTTTTTTTTTTTTTTTGTTTTTTTTTTTTTTTTTTTTTTTTTTTTTTTTTTTTTTTTTTTTTTTTTTTTTTTTTTTTTTTGTTGAGTAATGTTGCAATCCTAATGTAACGGATGTCAAAAAACGTCCACTGTCACCCATATTCCCCGTGTGTTCTGTATCTTGTGTAGAAGTTGTCATAATCAGGTCAACACATTCAGGTACAAACTGGTGGTGTAGGACTTAGAACTGTATTATTTGATTTTTTTTCCTTAACACCAGCAAACTGTTAGCTTTAAGTCAAAATCTTTTATTATTTTTTTCAAACTAAGTCAGAAGAAAGGCGTTATTCTTCACGCGCAAGTCTAAGAAATGCATGGCCAGGTTTATAATAACAAAGCTGACCTCAATGTTCTGTTATTCTTCCATCATGGAGGTAATGCTATGGCCCAGAACCGTCCATTCCCGCAGCACTCCCACTTCACCCAACATTTTCACTAGGAAACTGAAGATCTAATGTTTCCAAGGGGGAGACTCGGGCCTCGATCAATGCGATGGATTAGGTTAAACAAAAAGTGTGTGTTGGGGGTGAGACAAAGTCGTATTCGTAAGCAATGTTCCCTTTAAGCTGCGCGGCCGCGCAGCAATCTCACAGACGCCGCGCAGCAGTTTTGAGTACCGCGCAGCTAATTTCCACTTAAGTGTGTTTGTGTCTGTAGGCTGTAAAATTTTGCGCATAAAAAAATTGAAGCTGTAAAAATGTGCACACAACTTGATGATTTTGCACACGAACAAACAAACCTTAGAGGGAGCATTGTTCGTAAGTCGAGCTCAATTATCTGTATGTCACATCACATCGCATTTCACCCAGTGGCGTAGGCGGGAGGGGGGAGGGGGTTGGTGGTCCACTCCAGGCGGCATTGTTATATTCGATTCCGGAAATTTGATCGAAAGAAATTTCATCGACGGAAAATTGATCGACGGAAATTTGGTCGAATCGTTTGTTTTTTTCCGTTCACACGTTAAAATTTTGCTTAAAGTTTATTTTTGGACGCATTATTGTGTTTTACTATATAGTACCGTGCGTTCAACAAGAAATTTGAAGAAAATTTTAACGTGTGAACTGAAAAAAAGATTCGACCATATTTCCATTCGATCAAATTTCCGTCGATCAATTTTTCAGTCGACGAAATTTCTTTCGATCAAATTTCCGTTAATCGTTATATTAAGAAGGTGTATATTGAGGGGGTGGCATATTCCGACAGCTGCAAAGTTGTTTTTATTTCTATTTTTTCATTTGAAAGAGGTGGGGGGGGGGTGGCCGGGGGTCAAAAAAGTTGGCACGCATCCGGTGGCAAAAACCTAACAATGCCACTGATTTCAGCATACTGTAAAATCGCATTAGCTGGTTGCGGGCGCACTGCAAGTGTTAAATTACACAAATACGAGCGATAGGTTAAAAAATAAGTTTATAAAAAAAAATGCGTGTATATTATATTATAGATATAGATATTATATTTATATCTCCACGTATATCGGATTTTTCCAGACGTAATTTTTTTACGTGTCGTTATATATAAGTAAAAACATTGCTGACTCAGCAATTGCTGAAATTTTGCTGTAATGTGCCACCATGTTGTTTTGTAAGTTATTGTGTTTTGTTCATTTAACTGTTTAAATAATGTTACATAAAAAAAAAACAGCAGCTGATTTTTAAGTACTCTTGTGTTGTTAAGCATGTTTATGAATAAACTTTTTGTTTTCTAAAAATTAGATTTACGTCATGCTTTCTGTCCAAACATCTTCCACATAAAATTCAAGAGCAGTGATTTTTAAACTGTTTTAACGGGAACGTCGTTTCCTACCCACTCAATAATTTCCCTAGGCACTTATCGTTCTAGCGGAGAATGGGGCCCTTTTTAAAATGATATATTCAGGACTACACTAAATGCTATTTAATTAATACTAGGACCATGGGCGCCCGCAGAAAACTTTCTAGGGGGGAGGGGGGGGTAAAAAATCGATTAACTTTCCAGGGGGGGGGGGGCATAAAATTGATAGTAATGTTTTAATATAGTTTTAATTTACTGTAGCTTATTTGTATGGTTATACAAATTTTGTCTAACAATTTTTTTTCCAATCCATCCCCCTGCCCCCCCCCCCCCTGCGGGCGCCCATGACTAGAACCCCTTTATATCCTCCCCTATCCTCAATATCTGATCCCACTCTTTTAACATTTCCCCCCCTTACCTGTACACACCTGTTTACTCTCAAGCTCATAAAATCGTACAATATTATCACAAAATCGTTCAATACCTTATATTTATAGAAAAAAATAAACATGCAGTATACATGCTAACACCTCAAAATGGTACATTGTACGCCAAAATCGTAAGAGTAAACAGGTCTGCTGCATGTTTTTAGATTTCTGTGTGTGGGTGTATGTGTGTGCAGGTGTGTTTGCGTATGTGTATGCGTGGGTGAGTGTGTGCGACTGTGATTTTCTTTTAGCGACGTTTAGTTAGTCTACAAAAAATTAATCATCTTAGAAAAAAAAAAATCGGACAGAATATTCCAACTTGCCATTTTGTGTACTTAGTTCCTCGATATCGTAAGCCTCGTATTTCTAAACTACTTCTCCGTTTTTATCCAGACTTTTTATTAGAACGTTTCTCGGTAACTCGACGACACTTAAACAAATTCATTAGATTATGAAAATCGTGTTGATCCGTTTGTATCTCCATGTTTGTAAAAGTAGATCGATTGCTCTAAAACACTAATGGTGTCATTGGTTCAATCGCTTGATTGGGTTTATAAATCGCGGAGAGTTTTTGCATGACTGGACATTTAAATTTTTTTAATTTTTTGTTAGTTTTAATGTATTTATATATATATATATTTTTTTTAAATTGTAATGAATCTTTGTATGTCAAAACGTACCTTCTTTATTTTATTTTTTTTAAAGTTATTTATTCATTTATTTTAGCCAAAATATATTATGTTCAAAATAAGGCAATGCAAAGCTTGGATTGTATCCAGTTTAGTTATTATAACAGAATTTTATATACTTTTTTTAAAGTGGATTTATTATGATAAACTTGATTTTTTTTTTTAAATAAGTTTAGTTTACGCCACGCGTAAATTTTATCCTAATGTTGTTTATTTTATTTGATGCGTAATTCGGTTCCAAAAATAAATCGGCTGTTGGTCTAAATGGAGTCACCGTTGGCAGATTTTGAGCATATCTGAGCCAATCCATTGATGCTACATCTACTGGCTTAGATATATATATATATATATATATATATATATATATATATATATATATATATATATATATAATATGCAAAACTTTGATGAAAATTTTAATGAAGTCAATAATTTTATAATTTCTTTTTAAAAGCCATACTGTTGGGTAAAGTCATGATTTTGTCGAAGCTGCCATGTTTGAAAAGTTCAGATGTTATTTCAGATGTTACGATTCTGATAAATCTATGATGTTTGTAAATCTATGATGTTTGTAAAATCTATGATGTTTCTGAAGTTACGATGTTGTCGACGCATCAGATATTCGTTACTTCTTGTCAACGCTTTGACGCGCTCATCAATGGGATGACTTAACACTAGAGAAAGTACGTCTGACTTCAAGATGACGTAACTTCAATCTTTAACGGGGAGTTCTATCTTGAACAAGTCAACTAAATAAATGAATTTGTATGGTTTTTTTTGTATGTTAGGAGGAGATGGAGTGAATTCATCTTGTAATACGGAATCCCAGATAGGATCGTTTCTCAGAATGGAAATCTTTCATTATGATCTGAGCTCAAAGAACGATACGGTTTGTCCCAATCACAAGAATATTTTTCTTGAAAATAGGATGACTTACTGATTTTTTTTTTAAATTCTGGTTCTACACACAATACCTTTCAAGTATACAGTGGAATTATTTTTTGTAAATGTGTCGCGTGAGAAGCTTATTACTAAAAACCAAGATCTCTACAGCTTTCGTAATGGATTAAAAGGGTTTAAATGATTTAGAAGTGATTATGTTTAATCGATGACAATTTAAGAAGTCCATCATCTTAGAGGCAAAGATTTCTATTTTTTTTTAAATTGATAAAGCCCTAACTACTTTGTTAACCTTAATGTCGGCTAAGTGCGTGGTCGTATCGTGGAGTTGTCAGCAATGTTGTTATTTATGTGTCGTCCCCAATAAATGTGGTGAGACATCCTGCCACTCCTTCCCCCACCTCTCTTGGTTTGGTAACGTTTGTTTACACGATACCAGGGGGCTTTCTCTGACGGTTGGGCTTCTGGACTGATTTACTGATAAGACGGTCGACTGTGACCGACCGATTTGCGAGTGACGTAAGAGAGAGAGATATAAGAGATATGTGCAGACTAACACGTTTTTTACCATGTGTGTGTGTATGTGTGGATTAATATTTTTTGTACTTTTCTCTTATTATTTGTATTGACGTGCTGTAAGTTGATTGAGTTTTTTTTATCTCTATTTACCTTTGTATTTTGATATCAGAATTGTAAGTATAAATAAATTGTCACTTGTTGGTAGCACTGGGCTTTGGTATCGTTTTTCTTTGTAACCTGGTTTTCAAGTCCCTTTGTTACGTTATTGTTCTTCTCAAGAGCCGAATTTTAAAACAACAGATGAACTTTGTTCAACCGTATAACGTTAAATGACACGATCAAAACCACAGAAATATGTTTTCCAAGACTTCCCAAAGGCCACATAATAAAGCTGTCACTTGACAGAGGAATTACTGTAAATATTTGGAATAAAATCTTTTGGGAAAGGGGAGGGTGGGGGTAATATATTTATGATTATCTACCAGATTATTGTTGTTAATAAATCTGAATGTAAATTTTAAATTATATTTAATGATTATTTATTTATTTATAAAATTTAAAACATTATCACTGTAATTAGGTATACAAATAATGGATTTCAAGAAAATTATTTTATCTCTGTTTTATCAGTGATGGTCTAGGTAAGGGGTTCTCGGAGTCTTTAGGGTCACCGCCTCCTTTCTTTCATCAATTTATTATTAATTCTACCCATTAAAAAAGCATGATTTGGTCATTTCGGTCAATAACATATTAGCACGCCATGTTGGTGTAGATATACACACATAACAATAAGTATACAATTTGCGAGTCAACTAGTTCAATAACTAATGGGCTTGGTGATTTCTTTTTTTCAACGTCAGAAAAGAATGAAATCACTTTGCAATCTTAAATTACTATTCTCAGGAATCTAAAGTCTATTTCTTTCACGATTCACAAATTATCGACTTGAGTATGCAGCAGTTGTAATCAGTATAGATTACCGACATGAAATTTCCATCTGTACCGAAATCATATCTTAAGGTTTCTTAAACGTTGGCTCAACAACAAAATTTTGGTTGAATTTGTTCATCTTCCTGCGTCAGAATCTGTAACAGTTACTCGATTTTTGTATCATCCAATCTCGAATTTCTTACAAAAGAAGATCTGCAAATCGTTCAGATCCATCACAGATCCATCAAAGATGCACCAGTTTCTCACAACATATGAGAGTTAATATCTCGACTCTGGAATACAAACACTATCTGTAGTCATCCCCCTTTTATAATTGTCTCTAGCTGACTAGCAAAACCATAACAAAAAAAAATTTAAAAACACACAAAAATTCCGACCATTCTTTCCTAACATTGCTTCTATACTCTGAACACCCTACGAATAATTTCCCTAGTCTGCCCCCCCCACACACTCCCCGCCCCATAAAACAGAAGCAATGCATTTTAAATGGAAACGCAGGCGGATTGAATTGCAGAGAGAACTGTAGAACTTAGGAGATAAGATAAGATAAGATTCTTTTATTGATCCATATAAATGGAAATGTTTTTTATTGCATTGTACATTTTCAGCACAAAAATAAAACAATTTGAGCACAAGACATTTATAATAAATTATTTCAAACAGCCATTCAGTGAGTTCTCTTAGCAAAATCGGGGACATATTAGTTCTCATTCAGATGTCTGACTTCAGAGGAAGTCTTGTGACTTATAAAATAATAGGAAAATATTATGAATAAATTTTTTTTTAAACTTTTAAATAAATTGTAACATAATGGTAATTCCCCCCCCCTTTTTTTTTTTTGTTACAATAATCTTTCCTCGAACTCCCTGAAATGACACCTCGCGATTTAAAAAAAATAAATTTTTTTTTAAAATTTTAAATAAATTGTAACATAATGGTAATTCCCCCCCCCCTTTTTTTTTCTTGTTACAATAATCTTTCCTCGAACTCCCTGAAATGCCACCTCGCGATTTAAAAAAAAAAAAAAATTAAGATCAGTGCCTTGTGAAAAATAAAAATGTAGGATTCTTCCCTTATATTTTTGTCTTAAGTAATTTTATAAAGCATTATCTTCTGTTAACAGAGAATAAACTGAATATTGATAATTTAAAGAAGTAGGTATGGAGTATACGGCCTAAGCATAACGAGGTGTATTTATTTATTTTTTTAAATTAAATAATTCCCGCTTTCAATTTTGTGATTGACCTGAAGTTTAGTCTTGAATTATAGCTATGTGTAACAAAATATGATTCGACGGTGCACTGTGACATCGTTGATTAAATATCAACGTAAAAAATAAGCAGATTGTTCACTGAAAGTAATAGCTTTAGTATTTTGAGCTTGGGTAAAGTTCCTATAATTCCTATTAAAAGAACCCCAAAAATTATTAGTTCATTCTGAAGTTGTAATTTTAACTGAATAAAAATACTGGCAACAGAAGTAATGGTATCTAACGTGGTTTATTACATCGGAAAAATATTGGGAATTTAACACAACGCCATTCTCCATTATAAAATACCACCAGTTTTGTCACAACTTTGATCAAATTTGAAGGGATGCAATCAGTGGCGTACCTTTGGTTAAGCTGCTCTCCCCTTCCACGAAAAAAAAAACTCTCCATATATAGAAATAAGTGCTGCCCCGGGGCGGACTGCCCCCCTCCTCACTATCTTACTTCGCCCCTGGAGATCATTCACGCCATTTGAAAACATAATAAGTGTTGATTGGCTAGTCCCAAAGAATTACCAAAATAAAAGAGTTAGCAAAATATTCCTTATAGGCTTGATTGTTGGCCATGGGGGAAATACCAATGTATACATATTAATTTTTAACGTTTTAATGAAAGTATTGCTTGATTTTAATTTCAAGAAGAGTTAATGCGAAACATCTTCTTAATGTGTTCCCTGCTTTGTACGTACAGTTCATTCGTCAATTCTTATCACATTGAAAAGTACCACGAATTGTAGGTGCTTACACCATTTTCAGATATGTAATTTTTTCTGTCATTTGACCTTACCAAATGAATGGCCCACAGAGCTTAAACTGAATGGTTCCTAACATGATCATGCATACCAAGTGGTGACTAAAGCCTTAACATGGAAAATAAATAATAAACCTAAAGCTTTTCGTTAAGAGAAAATATTCTTTCTGTATTTGTTAAGATTAGTTTTGGGGAATTAATCTCTTAACTTGGCTTCACTATTGTTAAAGTCACTCAGTTTAAGGGAAGACAGTATTTCATGAATCCAACTTATTTGAAAGCTTTACTCACCAATTAGACCAAGATTTGTTCCTCATTTGAGATCCGCATAGAGCTGAAGTAAGATTAATCTCAGCTCTAATCTCGCATATTTTTGTCATCAGTCCTTCTCGATGGTGTGGTCTGAGAGGGTTTTTATATGGAGATGAGCTGTTTCCAAGTCAGCAGATCCCTCATATCCACACAACGGTTGAACACAAAGGAGCATCAAATATATCGATTTAACTTGGAAATTTTTGCCACGAACTTTACTGCCGCAAAGCAACGAAGGTTTGCAGTAGAAGTAGCTCCTTCTCTTTGATGAGGCCACCAATCCTAAATTTGAAGTAGTTATTTCTCTTTGATAATGCAAAAAACTCCGAGAGTTGAAGTACGGTAGCTCCTTCTCTTTGATGAGGCCACCTATCCGAAATTTGAAGTAGTTCCTTCTCTTTGGTGAGACCATCAATACGAGAGTTGAAGTAGTCCTTCTATTTGATGGGGATATCAATCCGAAATTTGAAGTAGTTCATTCTCTTTGATAAGGCCATCAATCCGAGAGTCGAAGAAGTTCCTTGTCTTTGATGAGGCCAACACCCCGAGTGTCAAAGTACTTAATCTCCTTGATGAGGTCAACACCCCGAGTGTCAAAGTACTTAATCTCCTTGATGAGGCCAACACCCCGAGTGTCAAAGTACTTAATTCTCCTTGATGAGGCCAACACCCTGAGTGTCAAAGTACTTAATTCTCCTGGATGAGGCCAACACCCGAGTGTCAAAGTACTTAATTCTCCTTGATGAGGCCAACACCCCGAGTGTCAAAGTACTTAATTCTCCTTGATTAGGCCACCACCCCGAGTGTCAAAGTACTTAATTTGTTAACGACTCTCTTTTGTCCCATATTTTTGTTTCAAGTTTCGTTTTTGCTTTGTTGATCTTGGTACTGGCTTAGGGTTTCAATTACACTCTTAAATATCAATCGATCTCTCTTGACCACACAACCAGCCATTTGAATATACTTTTAAAAATAACATCAATATACATACGTTCATATATACATAACCAACATGAAGTTCAAAAAAACTTGGGAAAATATAATATAATATGTTGCAAATGCTAAATCTTTACATGCTCATATTTGTGCAAAGTATGCATGTGTGTAATGTTTTAATTTTTTTTTTTTAAATTTCAGATTTCTTTTTACAGATCATAAAGAGATTTTTTTTTAATACACTAATACAATTTCGAAATGGGAGGCAATCAATGTTACAAACACGCACTATTTTTTGCAACTATTTTATCATTCTCCGTCTTGATCTTCTTTATTAACAACGATTTAAAAACAACTTCAAACGTTTCTACGCTGATCCTTAGAAACATATTACATGTTGGAAAGCAATTAAATTTCCTGGTATGGACGCTGCCCTGCATTTTCATAAACGTTTCTGTTTTATTGCCGTGGGGACACTCGCATTCAGTGAAAGAACTAAGAACAAAGTCACGTGGTCGGGACATTCGTACAGAGTTGCGCGGCAAAAAAAGTGTATCCAAAGAGTATCGGGAAAATTTAAAGAATGACCGGAAACCAATGGTTTTCAAAGAGAGAAAATATAACAGGCACGTTTTTGGTCTCAATGATCCAAGGAAATCTAACGTTGAGGAAACTTTCGGAACACCCATAACCAACAAAAGAATGACTGATGAATGTCAATACACTAAATATTATTACCATAATACAAATATGGCTGGAAAAGTTTCTGTTGGAGATTTGTCGTTTAAAAACTTTGGACTTTCCAGTGGGACATCAAAGTTTGGACTTTCCAGTGGGACATCAAAGTTTGGAGTTTCCAGTTGGATATCAAAGTTTGGAGTTTCCAGTTGGATATCAAAGTTTGGAGTTTCCAGTTGGATATCAAAGTTTGGACTTTCCAGTTGGATATCAAAGTTTGGACTTTCCAGTGGGACATCAAAGTTTGGAGTTTCCAGTTGGATATCAAAGTTTGTAGTTGCAAAAACAATTGGTGAAATTAAACTAGCCCATTGTTTCGCTTCATTGGTTTTATTTATTACGTTACTCTCCTTGAACACTATTGGTTGTTGGAACATTACGATAACAACGACTTCTGGACCTGTTGGCTTCAAGAAACTTCTAACAGTTAGCGTCTCTTCTTTATTTCATCGTAGTTCAAATGGCCTGTATACACTGTTTACTTTACTTATTTCTAGAAATGTAAACTCCAACAGCCATAATACTATTCCTGTGCCAAAAGAAATCCCTGTCATTGCAAAACATTGGAAATTAAGAAAAATAAACGGAAAAAACAACTATGAGTGGTTGCATTCGCCTAATCGGCCAATCTATGAGCATCTGAACAACGTCATTGCGTACCCAGTCTCTCAATTTTACCGACTCGCCTCGTTCCGACCTCTGGCATACACCGAGATGCCTCATTCTATGTTCTTCATCAACTTATCGAGTGCCGGGTTCCACTACCCGGGGACTGGTACGTCCGTTGTATGTTCGGGATGCAGAAACGTGGTAGACCTTGCACTTGTGAAGTCTGACCCCTCTGAGCTCAAGTACCACAAGGAAGGATGTAGTTTTGCGACATCGCGGGGGGAACTCAGAATGTACACTGAAAGTAATAACCAAACCCCGAGGATAGCGTCACACGAAGTCCAGAACGAGGCTGTAGAATCGACATCTAATGATGCACGAGTTGGGGAGGTCTCAACCGGAGGACATGTCAACGGCGACACCGATGATGGCATTGACATGATGCCACCTGATATGTCAGCACAGCCGTTGGTCATCGTGTCCCAACACGACAACGAACTCCAAAACGAGAGAGTGGGTGAAACTTTTCGCCACGTAACAGATCTCATCGAATCGCCACATCCGGGACAGTTGGGTAATTGTTTTTCGTTACATCGCATTCGTATATATATTTTGTAGAGCACACAGTTTAAATAAGTCTTTATCAGACAGTGTAATCTTTAACATTATTTCAAATAATAGTTATTTGTGTGATGTCATGTTTTAACGTGTAATTATATTTTATTGAAATTTCCCACTTTTTAATTCCCAGAATAAACTCACACCACACGTCCACCCCGACACAAAGAGTTGCTTTTTTATTTTTAATTAACAAACAATTCATCTCAACTCTGAAGTATTCTTGCATACAAGTTAATCTCAATATAGCTATTTTAATAATGCAACATTTAAACATCACTAGCGCAAAGTGACGACATGGGATGTGAGCCGAGTCAGTCCTCGTCACCAATTTCCAGCGCCGAGTCTGTGTGCACACCCACAAGCATTTCAGCACTACCTGGCAGAGGTGGCCTTTACACAAACAATTCAGAGATCCATATAACAGACGCGGAGACGCCCTACTGTGAGTTACACGAATTTAAGCATACACTGTATAGTGATCTTTCACAACCCATCGTGTCCCTTCCCCTCTTCTCCCCCCCCCCCAGCCCCGCCTATATTACTTCCCTTACCTTACCTCAAACAATTCAGAGATCCATATAACAGACGCGGAGACGCCCTACTGTGAGTTACACGAATTTAAGCATACACTGTATAGTGATCTTTCACAACCCCTCGTGTCCCTTCCCCTCTTCTCCCCCCCCCCAGCCCCGCCTATATTACTTCCCTTACCTTACCTACTCAGTGTTGACTACCTTCCTCTTGCTATTCTACGGGATACTACATTTAAGTAAAGTTTTTATGTTTATATTTTATGTTCTTTGTTTGTGCCTCTCACTGACGAAGGCTTCTTGCCAACACCTTTATTGTTTAGTTGCGTCATTTTTTTTTTTTCAGGCTTTCCCCCTGGCTTGTAGTATTTATTTATTTTTACTAACCTGATTTGAGTCCTCCATACCCCCCCATCCCCCAAACCAAACCTTATTATACTTAATGGTATTTTAATGAGCTACCATCATACGTGAAAAAAAGAACGACGATTGGATGTTTATGGACAGAAAGTTGACCTATGAACCTTGAATTTTCAGGATGTTTACCCGAAGAGTTTTGTTTTGTTTTTAAATTCATCTAACGGACATTTGCCAGACAGTCTTAGTGACCACAGTAGATTTGACGCGAATGCATTACGACCTTAAAGGCTTTAAGGGTGTTGAATTTATTAAATTGGACACAATACAACAACAAAAAAATGCAAATGTAACCTCGGATATTTTATTAAATAAGTCTTCGTTTGCTTCCTTACAATAACATGTAGAGTTTAGTCGCTTTTCATTCCATTATTATTTGAATTGAGTGATGCATGTTTGTCATGCTTGGCTGATGTTTGTTTGTCATGTTTCGGTGATGTTTGTTTGCCATGTTTGAGTGATGTTTGTTTGTCATGTTTCGGTGATGTTTGTTTGTCATGTTTGAGTGATGTTTGTTTGTCATGGTTGAGTGATGTTTGTTTGTCATGTTTGAGTGGTGTTTGTTTGTCATGTTTGAGTGGTGTTTTATTTGTCATGTTTGAGTGGTGTTTGTTTGTCATGGTTGAGAGATTTTTGTTTGTCATGGTTGAGTGATGTTTGTTTGTCATGGTTGAGTGGTCTTTGTTTGTCATATTTGAGTGGTCTTTGTTTGTCATATTTGAGTGATGTTTGTATGTCATGGTTGAGTGATGTTTGTTTGTCATGTTTGAGTGATGTTTGTTTGTCATGTTTGAGTGGTGTTTGTTTGTCATGTTTGAGTCATGTTTGTTTGTCATGGTTGAGTGATGTTTGTTTGTCATGTTTCGGTGATGTTTGTTTGTCATGTTTGAGTGATGTTTGTTTGTCATGGTTGAGTGATGTTTGTTTTTCATGTTTGAGTGGTGTTTGTTTGTCATGTTTGAGTGGTGTTTTATTTGTCATGTTTGAGTGTTGTTTGTGTGTCATGTCTGAGTGTTGTTTGTCATGGTTGAGTGGTGTTTGTTTGTCATGTTTGAGTGGTGTTTTATTTGTCATGGTTGAGTGGTGTTTGTTTGTCATGGTTGAGAGATTTTTGTTTGTCATGGTTGAGAGATTTTTGTTTGTTCAGTCTGGATTTCTTGGGAAATTAACTAAAAATTTAAATGTAGATACTTGTATGAGTTAAAAACCATAAGCACTAGATAAATATAGAAAGAAGGAAAAATGTATAAAGATGTCTGGAAATAGAGTTGAATTTAAATAAAATATATTTAAATTTTAATTTGGTTCGAAAGGGTTGGAGCAAAAGTAATCACAACTTTTTTTCTTTTTTTTTTGGGGTGGTGGGGTAACTTTTCGACCATTAGATATTATATGTGTTTTTGTGTGCAAGCAAGACATTGATTTTGCCAGAAATATTCTCTGTTTCAATTCTCACTTGACAAAGTTTTATTTAATTGATATTATGTTTTTAAAATTTGCTTTCATTAAATTGCTGCTTACATTATGAAATTTACCCCTTAATTAACAGCATGGCCATTATCAGCTTCACCCATGAACACCGCGGCTATTATCAGCTTCACCCATGAACACCGCGGCTATTATCAGCTTTACCCCTGAAGAGCACTTTTTATTTGCTTTGTTTATTATGCATGCCTTTTGTAGGTGACATGGAAGCGTTCAAGCCTGAAAACCCTACCTTTTTGGACAACCAAGTTCAAAGAAATAGATCAACAGTTAGATGTGAGAAAAACCCAGGACACCTTAGTAGCTTCCCTTTATCCCTCCTCCGACTGGATCATCTCCCTTCAAAACTTAGATACAAACTTGTGACGGAATTTCTGGGAGAGTGCGTGAAACTTACAGTTCAAATTACTGTTTCAAAAAAGAGCTCCAAACGACCTTCTGGCGACAATACAAATCTCGCTGAAGTCAAACCTTTTAGAAGCGGTACCGGAAGTGTCTTGCGCCATCCCTACGAGATTGGAATAAGCGAAAGTAACCCTGAGCATGCCGACCCATCAGGCACCATAACGCGTCTCAGACATCCGGAGTTCAAGGCGAAAAATCTGAAGCGGATTTTCATCGAGACGAGCCGAAATTTAATTTTTAATAATGAGGATGCTAAAAACAGCACTGTGCAGTTCTTGTTTGATACCACCAAGTCTTTACACGGAGCGCACGTCACCGGAAAGTCGGTCATTCACAGCACTCAACTGGGAGATTGCAAGTCTGTGCTTGTGTGTGAAGTTCCCGAGGAGATTGTTGCGATGTTGAACAGGAGGAGGGACGCTGCGTTCAAGTTAGCCGAACGACTGCCTGAAAGCGTCAAAGAAGCCATGACTCAGCACGTTTTCATCATCAGTTACCCACACGGAGGGGAACCGGAGATCTCTCATGGTGATTCCACATTAATCAAGTACATCATCGACATCGCTGACAGGGGAGGCAGGCTGATTGGGGTACTAGAGAAGATCAACGGCTGGCATCCAGGTAATTAATCAATCTCATTTTGATTCACACATTTCCATGGGGATGAAAAAAAAAAAAAGAAGCTGGTTCTTTAGATCGCAGTGGATTCCGCTTAATTGAATGACGGCTTAATGGTGACAGGCAACGAGGTGGTCTTAGGCTGATTGGGGTACTAGAGAAGACCAACGGCTGGAACCCAGGAAATAAATCAATCTCATTTTGATTCACACATTCCCATGGGGATGAAAAAAAAAAAAAAAAAGAAGCTGGTTCTTTAGATCGCAGTGGATTCCGCTTAATTGAATGACGGCTTAATGGTGACAGGCAACGAGGTGGTCTAAACTATGGCCCAGGGTATACTGAGCAGTTTTCTAAACAGAATGCACTGTAGTACTTTATAGAAATGTGTCATCCATTTCAAGAGCTATAGTTTTTTTTTTTCTTTTCCTTTTTATATAGAATGTACTGTTTCACTCGCACAGTTTCAAAAGGAAATGGTTGAGCAAGATTTGTACTGTCTTGTCATTTCAAACCAAAGCCGAAACATACCTTCTCACGGCTTGAGCACAGTCCCTCATGTGTTATGTGTTTCTTTCTGAAGAAGGCTTTCGTAACACTCTTCATTGTGTTTTATTTTATTTGCTATTTTCTCAGCTTTTCCCAAATCTGTGCTTCATGTGTATAGATATATAATTTTTTTAGATCATAAATGTGAACATTAATATGTATATTATAATAATGGTTACATTTATAATCGAAATATATATATATATGTATCCCCATGAGAACATTAAAGACCTATTATTGTTTTGTCTTTTAGCTTGTGAATGAAATATTTAACAAATCTTTACACCTGTTAAATGTGCGAAATAATGACGTACAAATAGCTCATTACAAGACATTGTTTAACTTTGTTTAATGCACTGCTAACATTTTACAGTAGTCGACCAAAGCTAAATAAAAATATGCGCTTTTTGTGACTTTACGGTTTAAGTATTGAATGCTGCAAGAAAAAAATCAAAAATATTTTCTAGAACAAGTTGATCTAGAGAAGACAAGGAAAACTCTCCTGTACACTGCTGTGACGTGTGACGGGGCGTTGGGTGCACCTGTCATTACTTTCCAGAGGAAGACATCAAGTGATCCAAGTAGCAGTCAAAGTCATTTCAAGCTGGACATTTGGACGCACTATGGATTCGATAGAGTTCATGAACTAAACGTTTCCATGATGAAAGGTAGCCCGTCCTCAATGCTACTTTTATTTGATTTCTTTACGTGTGTAAATTTTCTTTCATTTTTTAGTTTTTTTCAATTTACGTTGTTTGCTGTTTGATAAAATTACATGTGATTACTTGCAGGATTATTGCTTCCTGCTTAAATAATTGATACATTTCAACTTTAATATACTCCTCAAAACAGGTTGCACGCGAAGTGATTTTCCACCCCATGGAATTCCACTGCCATCCACCGCCAGTGTCAGGACAGCATCACAAACTTCCATGGCTAGTACCACAACCGACCAACAGACCCCTTGTTTACCAGGCGTGTCAGCTCCCCTGAGCACGGTGCTGACTACTCCGGCATACCCAGTCTACAGTAATACCCAGAAAAGACTGGAAAGTTTTACCAACTGGCCATCCAACCACGTCCACACACCAGCCCACCTGGCTTCCGCTGGCTTTTTCTATGCTGGTACGGAAATATCCTTTGGATCTTTTGATATTAGCATTGATGTCACCATTAATGTTTTAATGGTTATAAAAGTGATGGACATTTGATGATGTATGTATTTAATAATTGGAGGATAAGTATTTAAAAAAAATTATTTTTGAAAAATAAGATGTTAGAATATTGAGGTAAAATAGAAATATGATGATAGTCTAAACAAGATTTGCATGAAGGTAATTTGAATAACTTTGGAAATATTATTCGGTTCATTTTTGTTCAACAGGTTACGCTGATTGTGTCCGATGTTTCCAGTGTGGCCTCGGTCTGAAATCTTGGAAACCTGGAGATGACGTCATCGAGGAACACGAGAGACACCGGCCTTCGTGTCCATTTCTAAGAACACAAATTAACAGCGGCCTCACAGCCTGGCACCCGGTCAGCACGACATCCTGGCACCCGGTCAGCCCTACAGTCCATCATGGAGTGGCCAACCAAGACGCTGATAGTGGTAAGAGTTTTTTAAAGACATAAACTAACAACAAACTATACAAAAAATTATCTAACAATATCAATATGTGTTTATATAAGTCAAAAATAAAATATAAAGTAGAAAAAAAGTATAGGCCTCAGGCCCTACACAATATGAATATGGTTTCCCTCTTTTTAAAAACTGAGAAGACCTACAATGAAAAAGCAACCATTTGATTACAATTTAATGTTTAAATATTTTTATATAATCTAAAGCTTATGAAAAAAAAACTTAAGACCTGACAACTCTTGTACAGAATGTGATGAAGATGTGTCATTTAGTGCTTGTAAGAAACGAAATCTCCACTCATCTTTGAAGTTCAAAAAAAAATCTTTCGACCACTGTAAACATGTCTCTGTTTCTCTTTTTCAATCTTTCTGAACAAGAAACTAGCAAAGTAACATTTTTGTCGAGCTGCAATATCTAACAGAACGTTCCTCTGCAAGCTTATTTGTTCACATCAGTTTTCAGCTGAAAGTATCCTTTTCACTACCAGATGTTGACATATTGAACGATAATTGCCTACTTTTATTGTTTGATACAATTAAAACTGCTCATGTAACACAGTCAAAAGTTTAAACTTGAATTAGAGTAATCACTGAATACAGTCAAAAGTCTAAACTTGAATTAGAGTAATCACTGAATACAGTCAAAAGTCTAAACTTGAATTAGAGTAATCACTGAATACAGTCAAAAGTCTAAACTTGAATTAGAGTAATCACTGAATACAGTCAAAAGTCTAAACTTGAATTAGAGTAATCACTGAAGCAGATTTACTAAAAATAAGAAAATTCCCACAAACAAAAACACCAAGGTAACAGGCTCAACAAATATATGTCTAACTCAGTGATTCACTCTATTTCATAAAGTACATCGTGTGAGTAAATCCAACTAGGATAATTTGAGTGGTAACTAAAGATATGCATCAGTCAAAGTAGCGCAAAAGAACTCAGATTCTTCTTGATTATTCCACCTTAGATTTATATTCTATGTAGTCACCTGTCAACTAAATGTCCCACAAAAATCTCGTCCTAATGGTTTCTATCTGTTGTCCTGATCTTTAGAAAATATTCAACGTATGTGTACTGTAGAGTTTATTCTTTACAGAAATAATTTTCATTTTTTAATTGTTAAACTAATTACCTTTCATAAAGAATATAATTGAAATTAAAATTACTCTTTAAGTGTAGATGGGCTGTCTACCACACAGGTGACATTTTTTGGGGGGTCCATTTCTTTACTATTTATACGGCTTGTGTTTGATGTCTGGTCTTTGTGTTTTGTGGTTTTCATGAGTGTGTGTCTGTTAAGTCAAGTTCTGTCCCAAGCGTCACAAACTCTAGCTACTCCATTGCAGGTAATTGTCATTTCATTGTTGATTATCTCAAAGTTGTTACTGTAGCTTATTCCAATTCCTTAAGTTATTTACTTCCCAATGTATCAGCGAGGAACTCAAGCAATGAGACAGCTACTATGTTATTGAGACCTGAAGTTAATGGAAGTTTGGAACAACGCCAGCAAACAAGATCTGAACTGTCTGATTCGGATAATGGAGCACTGCCACTGGAAGCGACAGAACTTCAGCACCAACAGACACCAGGCTGTGATGAGAACAAGCAAATGCAATCAGAGGGTAAAATCTTGTAGATTTTTTTATTTATTTTATTTATTTTTTTTGGGGGGGGGGGGGGCATTAACCGTCACAGTTTGGTACCGGCGTCTCAAATAAATTAAATTGAAATGTGTTGTAGAAATACGGTAAGTTATTCTATCAGAACAACCATCATCTTAAATACTCTTTTACCAACGTTCATTGAATTATGAATATGACCATTTTGATGATTTTTTTTTCAGCTTTAGAGGAAAGAAACCATCCAAAAAGTCTGCCTGTGTCTTTGCTTGAACGTGAAAACAAAACTCTCAAACTCCAAGTGACTTGTAAAATCTGTCGTAAGGCTCCAATCAAAGACCTTTTCCTGCCGTGTGGAGACCTCTATGCCTGCAGTGACTGCTCACAGCAACTAACACACTGTCCAGCTTGCAACAAACTCATCCTTGCGACTGTCACTACATATTTTTCATGATGATGATTGTGAAGATGGTAAGGTCTATTTTGATTTTATCTGAAATATTTTAGCACCTATTCACTGTTGGGCAATAAGCTACGCCTGTATATATAATAATCAAGGAAAAAAAGATACGTTAAGCTAGAATTAATTTGTTGATTTTGAAGGTTCTCGAATTATTAGTTGTACTAAATGATGTTGTTCTAGACCAGTGGCTCTCAACCTTTCAAATGCCGCGATCGTTTAATACAGCTCCTCATGTTGTGGCGACCCCCAACCACTGAATAATTTTAGCTGATACTTTGTAACTGTAGATTATATTTGTTTTCACATGGTATTAGGCGACCCTTGTGAAAGGGTCATACAACTCCAAAAGGCGTCGCGACCCACGGTTGAGAACCACTATTCTGTTCAAAAGAAAAAGTTTAGTACAAAACGAATAAATTCAATTGTTTATATGGTTTGAGTTGTGTCATTGTCATAGATTTTCATATTAGTTTAATTGCTGGGTCTAGCCTATGGTATTAATTTAGGGTCTTTTATGTGCAGTAATTTAAATGAAACGGTCGTGTACATTTCTTCGTAGTCAAGATCTCGACTTTCTAGTTATATTTTATGGACAAGATTACAGAGGGCGAAACATGTTTATACAAGGTGGGTGCATAGTAAGATGTCACCCTAAAACAATGGAGGACACCCTCATCACCCCATGATAGATTAAACAATAGAGGACCCGCCCATCAGTCCATGATAGGTTAAAACAATAGAGGACCCGCCCATCAGCCCATGATAAGTTAAAACAATAGAGGACCCGCCCATCAGTCCATGATAGGTTAAAACAATAGAGGACCCGCCCATCAGCCCATGATAAGTTAAAACAATAGAGGACCCGCCCATCAGTCCATGATAGGTTAAAACAATGGAGGACACCCCCATCCGCCCATGGTAGGTTATAGCGATATGAGATTCAGCTCGCATTATTTTTAAAAAATAAAATCTATTTCGATTTCAACTCATTACAAGATTTTAACTTTTTTTAAATATAATTTTACTGGGCAACTATAGCCTACTTTTTATTTATGCTTTCAGATCAGTGGTGGCTATATTAGGTGTGCAGGACTGGACCAGGGGCTGAGGGGTAGGTCGATAAACACATGAATGAGGTGTGCCAATCCTGCATAATTATTGTACGCGATATTTACAGAACATTCCCATTTAAAAAAAACTCAATCTATTAGGGTTTGTCGTTTATTGGCGGAAATCTATTAATACAGACGGGCGTCTGAACAATCTCATTAAAAATATTAATAAAACATCCTGGTATTCCGTTTGGCCAAACTCTCAACAGCTGTTCGGTACTTCTATGTTAATGTGAGCCAGCATAGTCGGTCTTTACCTAGAAGAAAACGTGATTAGAACTTCATTTTAATAAAGATTTTACAAATTTTTACTGCTATATTTATGCGGAAATATATTATTAGAAGCTATGTTTTACGAAAACGTTGTCTAAAAATAGTAAAATTACATAATGCAGTGTGATGTTTTCCGGTCTTAGAAATGAAAAACCTTATTGTATTCGAAAATACCCATGCAAATAATCAGTAAAATTTGGATATTGTAATATGGGTAGGACTGTGTTCAGATTTAAGCGATAAGAAATAGTCATAAAGCAGACGAGAGCAAAATTAGCAGATTGACTACAAACGTAAACTCAGTCCCCGCTCCAGTAATAAAAAATTATCCTTAATTCTTAGGGCATTTCAAAATGTCTGTTTATTTAATTAATTCATTTTTATATTTCAGTTTGTTTGTGACGAAATTGAATTCTGGGAAAACCTCTCCTTGTTGAACAATTCCAAGCTAAATATTTTAAAAGTGGCCAGGGATGCTCTACAGTGATATTAATTAAAGGAAATTCAAACAAATAGTTATGATTTATTCATTGCCCTCAACCTTGTATTACAAAAATATCTATAAGAAATTTTTGGACTGCTATAGTTAACTGCATTGCATTTAGTTAGTGTATTGTTTTAAGTGTAACATTATTATCAGTTGTTACAATGTTGTTTTCAACATGAGATAACATAGGCCTATATTTAAAAAAATTCTTGTGTGTGTGCTTTCTACACTAATTAATATAAACACTTTTTGTAAAAGAAAATGTGTGCATTGACTTAGGCATCGACAACTGAAAATCATCAATATTATTTTGAAATAAGATAAGACTCGGAAAAGTATGTGCTTCACAACCCCCCCCCCTCCCAACCAATTACTAACTCCCTGTGATTAGCGATTCAATTTTAGTCAAAATAAAAATAGCTTTCACTTGCCAAACATATGCCAGATGAACAAATAAATATCAACTTTTATAAAAAATATTATTTTAGAAAAGGCAAAAAATGCATTTAACATTTCAATCCCCTAAGAATTAGAGGAAATGAGTGAGCACGTGTAATATGCTATTTATTTGTATAAATATGTATTTATTTATAAATCTGTGATTAACCAGCCAATCAATGCAATTTTTTAAGTCATTTAATATGATGGCATAAATGAATAACAAGAAATCCAAAAATATTAGTCATAGTGCTGACAAGAGTAGGCTACTTTTCATTAAAGCCTCTTCATCCATTATATCAGAATGTATTCAGATTTTAATTTTCCTTCAAACTTGAGTTAAATAATTTGTTAATACTGTCAGGCCTAACATCTCCTGGGTTAAATGTAAGAACTGGTGAAGCACCATTCTGCTAGTTAAGAGCAAAAGGTAAAAGAATTTTTTTTTTTAGTTAAAAAGTAATTCATTGCAGTCGTTGTTCGTTTTAAAAACTTGAAAGAAATGTGGTAGTTGAGTTTAAGTGTAGACCCTGTGATCTATCCTATCATTCACAAAATTAATGTTACAGTTTGAATTGCAGAAATTATTTTTATATTGGGTGTCATAATTATTCTTTCAAATTTCAAAATAAAATGAATACAAAATTACAAAGCAACATCCGTGTTCTGTCTGTATGCACTGAATGCATTTAAATAGATCTGGAAGAAAAAGTGGATTAAAGCATAAATTCTTCAACTGAATGTCTGCCCAGTCCCCTGTGCTGGACACAACCTCAAGTAGTTGGGAGTACAACTGGCAGAGGGTTGTCTACAGTCTTTAAATTTTCTCATCGCATCTCTCTTCCCCTTTATTTTCCCCTCTATTTTATTAACTTTGTGAGAGAAATTTCTAGATTAGCTCGATGCATTTCATAACATTCAACTGTTTATATCTGGCTCACAAAGTTATGGCTCACAAAGTTATAGGGAGCTATAATTTGGTGCAAGGCTCAGTTTTAAATCTATTGGATTTGGGAAAAAAAACAATCATTTAAAGACAAATCTTACTTTTAAAAAGATGTCTTGTTTAAAAATGATATTCGCTAAAGCTAGGGCCGTTTATAAATTAAAATTATTTAGGATTCCAATTCCAAGGGGTGCCATTTTAGTTATCCCTAAGATAAGGGCACAATTAAAATCATTCAGATAGCAATTCAATATTTCAAAGCAATGAGGAATCTAGGTTGTTAATGAACAAACTTTTGATTTTAAAAAATGTCCCTTAAACTGTGTTGAAAAAAAGCCAAAGATAAAGCCCCCCTTTCCCAGCACAAGAATATGAGATGTCTATATCATTAGTTTGAAATCAACTAATATTTTAAGACGGATTATGAAAAGTATGTTTACAAAGTTTGCTGAAAATGAATATGTACACTGTTATCAAAAGATATTTCCATTTAAGATAAGATAAAATTCTTTTATTGATCCAAACAAATAGAAATGCTTTTTGATTGCATTGTACATTTTCAGCACATAAATAAAACAATTTGAACAAGAGACATCCACATTAAATTATTTCACTAGTCGAAAAAAAACAGCCTTTCAGTCAATTCTCTTAACAATATCAGGGACTTATTAGTTCTCATTAAGATTTATGATTTCAGGGGGAGCACGCTGAATGCCAGACTTTTGGAGTCTTAGTTTTCATGGATTACATCCAAAAGTCTCTCAATAGCCTGCAGCTTGTTGGCATTAGGTGGAAGGTAAGTGAGGATGATACAGATTTGGGTGAACTCCCTAGGTAGGTAAAATGGCGTTAAGGTGATGCAGAGTAGTTCTATGGCGGGTGTACAAGCTACATGTTTCACTGTAATGTTGTTGATGCTACAGTAGTTTTTGTAAACATATATTGCCAATCCCCCTCCCTTGGATTTGCCGCTGTTGGTTGTTCCATCGGCGTACTTAAATCAACACAAAAAAAAAAGAATCTTGTCCACATGTCTCTTGTATGCTCTCAAAACCTCACACCAATCTTACTCACTCCATTTCTTCTCATTCTTATTTCCTCTTTTATATACACATCAAACCTCCTATATACAAGTATATCTTTCTAAAAAAAAAAAACATACACCTTTCTTTAAATTTATTAACTTTTTATACACAAAAACATATATCTTTCTTAAATTTATTAACATTTTAAACAAAAAAACATATACCTTTCTTTAAATTTATTAACTTTGTGCACGCAAAAACATATACCTTTCTTTAAATTTATTAACTTTTTACACACAAAAACCATACATAAAAACTCTTTATAGTCAAGTGCTCAAGCCCTAACCCAATCATCAGACAGACATGACTGACTTCAACTGGATACAACTGGGGAAAAAAATTCCATTCGGCTCAGATTCCAACAACAAAATACGGGTCAAGATATAACTAAAGTAGCATCATGTAATTTGACAGTGACAAAAAGGCCTTATTTCAATTATCAAGTTACAAGTGTTTGAAAATTTACTACAGTGGAGTTTCATTTCTTGCAGACAAAATATGGCTTTAACACCTGGCATATTGTTTCAGATCAGCTGCCTCATTCAAAGAGTTATACAATATAATTGATATGTAATTTATGGCAGGGTGGGGGAGACCAAAAAAAAACACATCTGCAATAGAAATATCATGGTAAAAATGCTTCGATTCCGAATGTTCAATGGGTCAAGCTAAGTGGTCCCTTAAGAGGAAACTAAAAACAATATGAACTGTCATCAACACTACTGGAATTATGGCAGATATCTTTTAAATATAGTTGAATGCCCCAGAATATCACAGAATTAAGTGAACTCCAAAGATAGTTCAAGTTGGGTATATATTACCTTAATTTTATTTTGCAATTCAGCATTTTCTTAATGTGCAGTGCATGTGGCTAGTGATTGAAGGCATATTAGGTGTCTGTTACCTGATTTGTTTGGGATAGCTATAAAACCAATTGAGAGAAGACAGAGAGTGGGTAGTTGTCCAGGTGCATATTTACTTCTCCAAATGTTCATTAATATGAATTAGGGACTGGAACAAGCTTCCAAAAGCAACAGTTGAGGCGACTACACTTGACACATTTGCTTTTATTGCCTCCTGGCTTCCAACCCCCAGTTCCTAATACCATTGCTGAGTAGCCCTTGCAACCAGTGAAGGATCCCTTTCAAAACTATGCACAGTAACATCGTGAACCCCTCTGAAACATAGGGGCCAGAATGATCAATACATTGATCGTTGGCCAACAAAATATAGAAGAAGAGAAGAAGAAACAGGCACATATTGGGCAGTCATCCACTTTCATAGTTTGTTGTACTGTCATAAGAACATGGTGGAGATGTTTGTCTGTGACAGGCACAGATTGGGCAGTCATCCACTTTCCTCGTTTGTTGTACTGTCATGAGAGCATGCTGGGGAATCCTGTCTGTGACGGTGCAGGATTCGCTCCACACCAATGTCGGAAACACAGCTGAATTGTAACTTACATTGGAAGCATCTCAGTGTGTCTCCAACTCCTGTTTAAATTTTAAAAAATAAAGAGCATACAATTTTTTATCATAAATGAGATAAGCGTGGTTACAAAAATTTTGCACTTAAGAAATATCCTTTTTATTCCTCGAAACAAATATGAAATTTAAATTGCTGATTCAATAATAAAAAAATTCATTAAATTGTAATAATTTAAAACATTGTGAAAGAAGAACTAATATCTTTGTTTCAGATTTGAAAATTTAAAAACAATCTTAAACTTTTTGTTTATGGTAATTAACTTTGAAGATTCATGTTATCTTGCATTTTATTATACACCAAAGACAGGTCAACTAGGACAGGTGATAGCAAACTAGGAGAGGTGATGGCAAACTAGGACAGGTGATGGCAAACTAGGACAGGTGATAGCAAAGTACGACAGGTGATGTCAATTCGCTCAGCCTAAACAGAACACAAGAATGTTTATTTGGACAATGTGCTCCTCTATGTCTTAAAATTTGTGATTGTATCCACACAAAAATGACAATGAAAATTAAATGTAGAGGCCGACCGAATTTCGGCTTCGGCGCCGAAAGTGGCCATTTTATCACTTCCGGCCAAGTTTGGGTTTCGGCCGAAACTGGAAAGTTAACTTTCGGCTTAATTTCAGTTTCGGCCGAAAGAGAAAAGTTAACTTTCGGTTTTTCTTCGGTTTCGGACGAAATTGACTTAGACTTTCGGCCGGGACGGCCGAAAGTGACTCAGGTTTTCGGTCATTTAATACTCAGCGAAAGCGATATTTAACAACAAACTAGGCGACATTTAAGAACAAATTAAGCGATCTTTGAGAACAAACTAAATGAGATTTAACAACAAACTAAACAACATTTATGAACAAACTAAACGATATTTAAAACAAACTAAGCATCTTTAAGAACTATCTAAGCAATCATTAATAACAAACTAAACGATCTTAAAGAACAAACTAAACAATTTTTAAGACCAAACTAAATGATCTTTAAGAACAAAACAAATGATCTTTAATGATTTATAAGAATAAACTAAGCGATCTTTAACAGAAGACTAAATGTTCTTTAAAAACAAACTGAAAGATCTTTAAGATCAAACTAAGCGATCTTTATGAAAAAACAAAGCGAATTTACAACAAACTAAGCGATCTTTATGAACAAACTAAACGATCTTTAAGAAGAAATATAGCGATCATTAACAAAACTAGACGATCTTTAACAACAAACTAATGCGATCTTTAACAAAAAACTAAAAGATCTTTAACAACAAACTAAACGATCTTTAACAACAAACTAAACAATCTTTAACAACAAACTAAACGATCTTTTACAATAAACTAAACGATCTTTAACAACAAACTAAACAATCTTTAACAACAAACTAAACGATCTTTAAGAACAAACTAAACCATCTCTAACAACAAACTAAAGGATCTTTAAGAACAAACTAAACGATCTTTAAGAACAAACTAAACGATCTTTAAGAACAAACTAAACGATCTTTAACAACAAACTAAACGATCTTTAACAACAAACTAAGCTTTCTTTAAGAACAAATTAAGCGATCTTTAAGATTAAACTAAGCCATCTTTAAGATTAAACTAAGCGATATTTTAGAAGAATCTAAGCGATCTTTATGAACAAACTCACTGATTTTGAACAACAAATTAAACGATCTTTAACAACAAACTAAATGATCTTAAAACAAACTAAGCTTTCTTTAAGAACAAATTAAGCGATCATTAAGATTAAACTAAGAGATATTTTAGAACAATCTAAGCGATCTTTATGAACAAACTCACCGATCTTTAACAACAAACTAAGCGATCTTTAACAACAAATTAAGTGATCTTTTAGAACCACATTTTTTAGAGACCCGGTTTAAAAAAAATAATATTTTGCATTAATTTCCCCTCCCCCCCCCCCCCCCACTCCCCAAGTTCTGCCAAATTTTCTCCTACAATACAAATTTGAAAAAAATTGTAAAGCAATTTAAATTAGTTTTATATTGAAATGGTAAAATCCAAAGTATTCATTAGATCAAGGGTATCAAACTCAAATTATGGGGGGGGGGCACAGGAGGTAGTGTCTGAATGAGACTGGGCCGCATCAAGTAATCCACAAAAAAGCGATTACAACTGTTACAATCTGGTCAACCTTTATAAATAACAAAAAAATCATTAAGGGTTCTCAAGAACTAGGATTCACTTTCATCCACCTACTCACTGTTGCCAGAGAGCTGGCATACAAAAATATATAGAGACATTAAAAAAAAAATCAGAATTAGATTAGTCGGTGAGATTCGACTGAAACCGTCGCGGAGAGTCACGTTATATATATGAGAATGGGGGAAACGGGCCGGCGCATTTACACTAAACTTTTCTGTCATGTAGCGGGCCGCAAAATATCGTCTTGCGGGTCACAAATGGCTCGCTGGCCGCGAGTTTGAGAACCCTAAATTAGATTTTTATTAATTAATATTTACGATTATCTCATTTTTATAAAAAGAATGTCAATATTTATATTTTCCCACATCATTTTCGATGTAAGCAGAATGTATGCGGGAACGAATTTCAAAATATCTTAATATTTCATTTTCGGTTTCGGCTTCGGTTTCGGCCGAAATTCATTTTTAACGTTCGGTCTTTTTTCGGTTTCGGCCGAAAGTCATTTTTAAACTTTCTGCCTTTTTTCGGTTTCGGACGAAAGTCATTTTAAACTTTCTGCCTATTTTCGGCTTCGGCCGAAATCAGAAAATCACTTTCGGTCGGTCTCTAATTAAATACATGATCAGTGTGTTTTTGAAGACATGATCAGGCTCATTTATAATGCTAGGGTTGTACCAATTAATTGCCAGATAATTAACTGCCTTATCTGACATTTTGCGACTAATCAGTACAGCCTCAATTGATTAAAAAAAAGCACCCACATATTTTCAAGCACCTAGTTAATAAATGCAGTAAAACAGTAATGTATATAAGTAAAGCATGAGCTTAGTAAAATTTTGGTCAAACCCAATGTAGGTTAAATTTAACTATTTTAGAACATTTTAATTTTGTTTCAGAAGCAGCCTTACAGATTTTCATGAGGCTCCTTGGGGATAGAATAGCCCCTCCAATATTATACAACATGAATGTATGTTATAAACATTATACAAATTCATCTCACAAATATAAAACACACAAATGAAAAAGCTTACACTTACCAAAGTAATATAATCCGTGTCTGGCCAGTCGGTCACCACGACCCTCTTTAGCCCAAGTGACATTTTTAAATGAACTCAATCTTGTAGCAAGGCTGGTGAAATCTTTTGCATTGAAGAAAAAATATTTAAAATATACATTAACCCTTTCAGACCTCTCTTGAAATCATAAGTAATAGCTATGATAGCTAGAGAACCACCATTATCAGAGACCAACTATTATCACAGACCGACCATTATCAGAGACTGACCATCATCAGAGACCGACCATTATCAGAGACTGACCATTATTGGAGACTGATCATTATCGGAGACTGACCGTTACCATTTAAATTACTCCTTCAAATTATGGCTAATTTAAATGTGTTGATGTAGTAATCACCAAACGATGTGCACTCATTGATGTCAACTCACCAGGGTCATGTTTCACCTCACCAGGGTCATGTTTCACCTTGACTCCAATGTCATCTAAGATGTCACTTGGAGAGCTGTAATAAAACAACAAGTTTGTCAACATTCTTTAGAACGGTTTTCTCTTGGGAAGGAATATAAAAGAGAGCTTAAATTTAAATACAAGTGAAGTTGCAAGGCACCTCAAACAGGCGGGAGATAAAAGTAATAAACTTACCCATCGGTGATGGCATCATCAGTTTGAGGGCCTCCCATGAACTGTTGAATGTAGGTCATATCATTGTCTTCCTCCTCTATAGGACATGTGCCATTGTGAAATGGCTCACCGAGATGATGAAGATCTTCAAATGAAGTTCTTTTTTTACATCTTAAGGACAAAAATGTTTTTAAAACCTATTTGTCATGTGCATAAAGAGCTATAAGTTTACATAATGCATATCATTTTCTAGTGCAGTGTGGAACCCTAAGGGCTAGACGTGCATGTCTCAAGGGACTCCACGGCTGCTCCAGGAATCTCCTAAACACTAATAACTCAACATAGTATCGGGTGTCGTCGTCGCCCCCCCCCCCCCCCCCAAAAAATCTATTCTAAAAGGGCCATGAATCGAAAAGGTTGGGAACCACTGATCAATTAAATCATAAACTTTTGTTAAGCAAATTAAATATTCATTTAGCACAGAATTCAAGTTCAGAAATCAGTTAGTCATCATAATATTAACTTTTCAGTTCTATTTTAATTACACTACTGCATGGATCCAGGTGGGTGAATTTTAGCTCTTTTCAAAAGTAGATCATAATTAATAGGGATATTCCAGCGAGTGGAGCTTTCCTACCCTATGCACATAACTCCATTATCCTTGTGGAAGAAGCCATCTTTTGCCAGCTTGGCTGCAAAGTGCCCTAAGCCACCATCTTGTCTCTCTAGAAGATGTCCAACATATCTAAAGGAAACCAGTCGTTGCAGTGAATTTCTCATGAGATTCAACTCCTGACGTGAAGACATTATTTAACCTGACATCCAAAAAAAATTGTAAATTATATTTTGTTGATGATGCAATGGTCTTAAGATAGAATTATTAAACGATGGATGTGTTTTCAGTCAAGGTAGAAGATGCTGATAAAATTTTAAAAAACATGTGTCTGTCTAGACAGATTTAGACAGAATTGAAAAGAGTAATTTTTGTTTAAAGTTACATATGCAATAGAATGCTTTGCTTCAACTAGCATCAAGCAACTTTTTTTTTTTTTTTATGTTAAGAAGAAAAATTGGTTCCAAACAAAACTTGTGAATGTGAGGTCCATTTTTAACTGGTGAAATTAAATCTGCTAGATTTTAGTTTAATAAAAGCAAGCTTACTGAAGAATTTGCTGCTTTTATTTCCATCAACACTAATAAGTGTAAATAAAACTTACCAGGTGTGTATGTCAGCTCACCATGTGAAGTCTAAACTTCCATGTGGAGCTGACAAACTTTAAGGCACTGCACTCCAGAAATGGTTTGAATTGTGCATTCTTCTCTTTGTTCTGAAAAGAATTTAACAGCACTTAAATAATGCCTAAAATTGTAAATTCATGTAGGTATTAATATTAGGTATGTATTATGTAAATTTAATTTATACTTATATGAATATTGTTTTTTATTTTGTTTTTTTTTTGTATTGTTTTACTGATGAGGGCATTTGCCCAAACATTAGCATTTGTATTATGTGCAATTTTATATTTTTAAACTTTAACCTATATTTTTTTATTTAACATTCATAAATTGTTTGTGTCTCATTTATCTATTTAATTTATGTACATTTTTTAAATTCGTTTTTACATTTCTCATTACAAATCATTTGTCCTATTATTGTCTCATTTATCTACTTAATTTATGTACATTTTTTAAATTCGTTTTTACATTTCTCATTACAAATCATTTGTCCTATTATTGCACATCTTATACGGTTATATAGCCTTTCAAACAGTGAAAAGAGCTAACTTTTATTTGTATCTTTTGGGTGAATTCCCCCGGGCCTTGCTCTATTATTATTTGATGAAATGTAAAACATTGAATAATAAATCACTGAACTTATTTCAAAATGATCCTTACCCACCTTCCAAAAAATGGCCATTTTAAGCTACTCTGGCAAGGATTTGAAACTATTTCATCAGGGTATAAATGAATTGTTTTTCAAGTCAGTCAAGTGCCTTTAAACTTTACATCCTAGGAAATGTGCCCCCACTATCCTACTGGCTAGGTGCCTGTGAACATTTATTTAAAATATGCTAGTAACAACCATGAAGCACACACTTTTTTAAATTTGATCTGAACTCTCTTCCTCCACCGTAAACCAAATAAAAATAGGGTCTATGTAAAAAGTCCGGATCACCTGGTTCACAAGTGATTAACAGGCACACCTATAATGTATCAACTTATAACTTGTGTATAATCTAAGCCAGAGGTGATTGCAGAGCCCAAGCTTGAGCAGCTAAAGACATGCCAAACATAATGGCAAATAATAAAAATAGCCAAACAAAAACTCTTTGAAAATTTGGTCACTATACCTTAATAAAGATATTGATAGTCTTCATACCAAAAAAAAAAAAAAAATAGAAACAAAGATGAAAAATTTATATAAACACTGTCATATCAAAAAAAGTACAAATACTTTTTTAACATTAAAAAAAATAACAATCAAAAATAATGGCAAATAAAAAAAAAAACCAAAAAAAAACTCTTTGAAAATTTGGTCACTATACCTTAAAAAAGATATTGATAGTCTTCATAACAAAAAAAAAAAAAAAAATAGAAACAAAGATGAAACATTTATATAAACACTGTCATGTCACAAAAAGTACAAATACTTTTTTACATTTAAAGAAAGTAACAAGGTGCATTTAAATTAAGCAGTAGACTCGTTAAGCATCAACTCTGTGCCTTGCCATTTATTTTATTTGGGGAGAGAGTATTTCTGTTTACTAAAAACAATAGAATTAACCATAATGTGTATTCCAAATGGTGTCCAGTGATAATAAATGTAATTCTTGTCAGGAAATTATAACTTTGAGATGCAAGATGGATGAAGAAATTATAACTATGAGATGCAGGATAAATGAAGAAATTATAACTAATGATATGCAAGATGAAGATGATGAAATACTTACAGGCTACAGGCAGAAAACGTATAATTTTTATCTTAATATATTATGATTTACAATTTGTGGCTAATTAATTTAGAAATAATTTATGATAAATTTTTAACTAAAACTGATTTCAATCCGTTTTTATTTTCAATTTAAATGTAGAATTTTATTTATTCTAAACATTCATTAATTTTATTTATTTGTGAACAAACCGTGAAAATAATTTGGCTTTGGAAACTAATTCGGGGAATTCCCAGTATTCTAAACCACTTAATTAAAAAGTAAGGTGGGTTTCCAAAGAAACAAAATCTATTTAATTTAATTCTTATTGCAAAGAAGATTTATTGGAACTATTTTAACATGTTGCTTCAAATATGCTAGTGTGGTTTTTAATGTATTAATTAATATTATTAACAGGCACTGAATTTAGATAGCTGGGCTTGAAAAACATTGGGGTAATAAGGGGAGAGACTGCAATCAGGTTAGTACAAAATAAAATGAGTAAAACAGAGTATGGTTAAACCTGAAAAATTAAACGTAACAAAACAGCGAACGTGTCGGCAGAAAGCCTTCGTCAGCGAACAAAACAACAGAAAAAACGTTATAAAAATAAGAAATAGCACTTAGCTGGTAAGTAGTATCTGTGGGCAGCAATACACTTCTATTGCTGCCCACAGATACTACTTACCAGCTAAGTGCTATTTCTTATTTTTATAACATTTTTTCTGTTGTTTTGTTCGCTGACGAAGGCTTTCTGCCGACACGTTCGCTGTTTTGTTACGTTTAATTTTTCAGGTTTAACCATACTCTGTTTTACTCATTTTATTTTGAAAAACATTGCTCCTTATATTATCTAAAAAATGTTGAGAAAGTAATTTCCATGAATTATAGCATATATTTATATTACCAAGCAGCAGTTATGCTCACCAGCAAGTGTTAATTAAGTTATGCTCACCAGCAAGTGTTAATTAAGAAACTGATCTACACATAAGGAACCTTCATACTTTTAAATCTCAAGCTAAAACACTCAATCGTCTTTGGTTGTCATAACTGACATTCATTGAAAACATTTGCAACAGAAATCTGCTTTTTATTTTTAGGGAGGATTGTAAATACAACTCTGCATTTAACTAAAACATGAAAAAATATAATCCTTAGCATCAGTAAAATAAGTGAAACAGAAACTGATATTGATAGATTTCCACCTGTTTATTGGGTTTGATACTATAAACTTTTATGATATTTTAAATATTTTTTCTGTGCTATAGATAAAATTGCTTGGGCCAGTTTTTGATAGTCACTGACTTCATTGTATATGTGTGCAGAAATACGGACATACAAATGACCTTGGACACTCTTGATGGGTACCTGAAAGTAGAGAGATTAACATCTCATCAATACCTTGCATGTTTAACACAAGATCCAGAGAAATGCCATTCTCAGAACTGAAGAGCTCAAAATATTCTGTACATCAGAATTTTTACCTACCCTTACAGCAATCTTGAACTTGTGGCTTGGAAAATATATTTTTTTAAATAAATAAACTTGAAGTTCAGCTTTGAATTTTATGATAATGCAGAGCAGACGTGAAAAAAATAAATAGTCTCAACCCTTATTCCAATCTGGCACAAAAAAGGAAAATTCCAGAAAGAGCCGGAACATGTTGATTCAATGAGAAAGCTTTACCTCAATATTATAGTCATGATATAGGATGTTCTGAATGCTCTCCGCAGCATTGTAGTCAACAGTCTCATGTTCAGACATGACGGTGGCTGGAAGCTCTACAAGGGCCATGGTTCCTGCAAGGAAAATACCATTTTAAATGCAAGTAAAAAAAGCAGTCCTTGAAATAATACACACAATTTCTTTAAATAAATTAAAAATTAATCAAACATAATCCGGGGATAAGAAAACTGTTAACACTCACCAAACATTTCTAAAGGAGCTGCAAACTGTGATGACCAAGAATTAGCTAAAAGCTCAGCTGCAATTTTTGAATAAAGTTAAGTTAAGTCTATTTTTTTAAATAAATAATTCTTTATAAACCTGGAATAAACATTTATTTGTTTTGATTTTTTTTCATTACAGAATATAAAATCCACTAGTCACCATGATTTATGAAATAAGTAACAATTCTTATAAAAATACAACACTACAACAATCAGAAATCAATGGTTCTCAAAGTGGGCAGTGGGACTGCTGGGGTGGGGGAGGGGTGTAAAATGTTCCGTAATGTTAGGGGTCGGTAGGATTACCTAAGGGGGCGCTGGCGAATTCTGTAATACTGACTTTTTAAAATCAGAAAGAACAATAAATAAAAAAAGACTATTTGATTTTAAGCATTCAAAAAGCAGTCATAAATCGCTATCACTGAAAGTTTAATAAATACTCTCAGACAAACAAGGAAAGACTATGGGCACAACACTTTGAATGCTTACTGAATGGCTCAGGTGGAGGAACCAATGAGGATTACGCTCCGCCACAAGAAGGGCCGGACACACTGGTCAACCAACCAACATTAAATGAAATAAAAGATGTAATCTCCACCATGAAAAATAACAAAGCCCCAGGAATAGACCTAATCTCTGCAGAACTCATAAAGTTAGGTGGTAACAAACTGCATAGGCAAATACATGAACTTATAACTAGAATCTGGCAGAAGGAAGAAATGCCAATTGAATGGGACATGGCACTCATAATCCCAATACACAAAAAAGGATATAAGTTGATCTGCTCAAACTATAGAGGAATCTCCCTTCTTAATGTAATGTACAAAATCCTCACAAAACTTATAGCGAGAAAATTGGAAAAGTATAGTGAACAGATCCTAGGGGACTATCAATGTGGATTCCGGCAGAATAGGTCAACCACGGATCATATTTTTATTATAAGATGTCTCCTGGAGAAATGCTACAAATATAACATCGACATACACCAACTATATGTGGATTACAAAACAGCATACAATAGCGTAAACAGGAATTACTTATACAATGCTCTACAAGAACTTGGAGTCCCTAACAAGCTTACTCGGCTCATACATATGACAATGGCCAGCTCCAAAAGTAGAATCAAGGTACAGGGAGAATACTCTAAGGGAGTTCCCAGTTAATTGGGGCCTCAGACAAGGAGACTCACTATCATGTATCCTGTTTAACATCACGCTAGAAAAAGTTATTAGAAGCATACACATTAGCACCAGTGGAACCATAGCAAACTACTTCCAGAGAGATACTACAGAACAACGACCATCAGGAACCTTATATAGCCATCCATTGCAGTACCTGGCATATGCAGACGATATAGCACTACTGGGTAGAAACTGTAATGACATAATTAAAGCATTCAGGGAACTTGAAAATGCCTCATTCAAAGCTGGTCTTGATATAAATGAACAGAAGACAAAATATATGATATTGTCAAAAAACTCCCATGCTGATCATAACATCAATATAAACAACCACAAATTTGAGAGAGTGGCTACATAAAAATATCTAGGGGCAACTATAAATGAGCACAATGAGATAATGTCGGAGGTGAAAGTGAAAGAAAAGATAACAGCAGGCAACCGTTCCTAATTCAGCCGACAAAAGCTACTGGGAAACAAAAACCTCTCAAGGGGAACAAAGAAGACAATATACACCACCATCATAAGACCTGTAGTAACGTACGCTAGTGAGACCTGGACCTTCACCAGAAAAGCAAAATATACGGACCAGTGATAGAAAATGATATCTGGAGAATACCTACAAACCAAGAACTTTACTATTTTTACAAAGAACCACCCATAGGCACAATGATAAAAAGAGGAAGACTACGCTGGGCAGGTCATGTTGAAAGGATGTCGGAATGCAGAGCAGCCAAAGTTATATACAGGCAGAAGCCTAGGGGCAGAAGACTCACCGGTCGCCCAAGGATGAGGTGGATTGATGATGTGGAGACAGATTTACACCAGTTGGGGGTTCGAGCATGGAGACGGAAAGTCATGGATTGCTCCGAGTGGAAGGATGTGGTGGAGCAGGCCAGGGCCCTACATGGGCTGTAGTGCCACTGATGATGATGACTCAAGGAAAGATTTTTTTACAATTGATCTTTTCAGCTGTATATGTGGCAATAACAACATTACTTGTGTATTACAGGGGGTGCTATAAACTGACAAGCCAGCAGTTCTTCAATGCTTAGGAAATTCCGCTAAATAACATGCTTGCTACTACAACTGATGGTGTACCCTCAATGACTGGTGGCCTCTGTAGGTTTGCTGCTTTTTGGAAAAATAAACAGTGCCAACTATATCTTTACTATTCTTTGTGTCATTCATCGCCAACATCTAGTTGTTAAAAATCTCAGGGTTCACCTGCACCACTCATTAAACACCGTCATTAGTGTTGTGAATAAAATAACAGCCAAATCTCTCAATGATCGACTATTTAAGGAGCTCTGTGCCGAGAACAATGAAGATTTTTCAATGTTTGTTCCAGCAAGCTGAAGTTCTTTGACAATCAAAAGGCAAGTGTTTGAATCGCTTTACAATTTATTTGAAACCGCAGTAGAATTTTTTGAAGATGCAAATTGCTTCTTGAAGTGCTAACCTCAAAGACATTTTTTTTTTTTTAAAACATGGCTTATTTATCAGATACATTTGCCAAATTCATTATCTCTACATTAGCATCTAAACTAATTCTGTTCAAGCACAAAATTGGCCGCCATGAGTTATTACAATTTCCAAGCCTATCTAAACTTTAAAAGTGCTTTACCAAATAATGATCTTGAAGTATATTGTGAACATCTGGATATGATACATAAAGATATTAAGTGTTATTGATTTATATTTATCCCACTTCAAAAGTTGCGGTCGTGGTATTGTTGGATCAAGATAATCAACTTTATTAAAATATTCAATATATGTTACAGTTTTTAATTTTATAATTTTCCTTGAAGGGTTGTGCAAAACTTCTATTTCGAACAATTTTATTTACAGGTTAATATAGGGGTGGCGGTAGTGATGTGTTAATGGCCTCCAGGAGGTGGTTGCCGAAAAAAATTTGAGAACCACTGCACAAAATAATATACTAGCCTCCAGCCCTTGCAGTCTTGTACATGTAGTCTCTGATCCTATCAGGACCTAACACAAGCCAGAAGTCTAGAACAGTATGTAATGATAGCATAGAACTGTAGTCATGTAGACCTGTAGAGATATTCAAAATAAAATAGTTGTGGTTTAATTATGAGGTGGAGCATGTCTGGGTAAAGCTAACATTGACAAAGATTAATATGGATTAAAAAACTGACTTTCATCTCTGAATTCTTGTGAATACTGGCTATAGCAAATTCATCAATGCATCAAGTCGCCTACCTGACCAAACAAATTCTGAACAAAATCCTGATCCAAATCCATGAGAGATTACAGCCGGCCTTATTCCACTCTGAAGTTCTCGCTTGACATACAAAAATCCGACACCTTTTGGAGAGCACAGCCATTTATGGGCATTTGACACATAGTAGTCTGGGTCCATCTTGGTCAGCTGTAAATCAAGAGCTCCTAAGGCATGTGCTCCATCTATCAATACTTTTGCGCCTCTAAATTTAAAAAAAAAAATTAAACCAATCAGTAAGAATTTATTGACTTACAAAAGACTCCAGATATTGGGAAAATATTTCACAATATTTTTTGCAATGATAAGTGACACTGACTAAAAGGTAATAGGACAGGCCTGCACAACATACGGCCTGCGAAGTAGCAAAATATTCTTTATTATTATTCATTTTCTTAAAAGCTTTAGCCCCTGTCCTATTATCTTTCAGCCCACACAAGTTTTTTCAAAAAGTATTACGGCCTGCACAAGTTTTTCATAAAGTATTACGGCCCGCCTTACATTATGAGTTGTGCAGGCCTGTAATAGGTTACAATGGCTATGCAAGTCATCAATGACAGGTGATAAATACTACCATGGCATTGAAGAGCTATCACAGGTGGTACTGTCTAAACAAGATATTTAATGAGAAATACACACACAAAAATTAAATGCAGAAAGTCCTTACCTTTGCCTACATATCTGAATCATGTCTTCGACTGGCATAATGACTGGAGTGTTGCTAGGTATGTGGTCGATGATCACAAGCTTGATGTCACCCCTTGACAACTCTTTTTCAAGCACATCTAAAACCTTTTTTTTTAAAACAATTATCACATGTTAATTCAGAAATATGATATCATAATTTTGTTCAAATGTTTTAAAATTTCTTCACATCTGAACATGTTAAATTATTCATTATGTCAGAAATTCAGATTGTTTTAGAATCCAAATTAAGCTTTACTATAATTAATTAGTTAAGGTATTAGTTGTTTTTTGTATAAGTTTTTATTTGCTGATAACTAAATAATATTATATTAACAATCATCGGTAGGTATGAACATGTGAGCAGACAAAACATTTGTGTAGAGCAAAATTATTACTGTTTGAGTACTTAATGTATTTGGAGGTTTACTATTTAAATTATGAATTAGTGATTTGATGTAACAATTTATAAATTAACTTTAGAATTAGTGATGTACTCTAACAATTTAGTAATTAAATATGAATTAGATATGTAATGTAACAATTTATTAATTAAATTATGAATTAGTGATATATTGTAACATTTTATGAATTAAATTGTGAATTAGTGATATAATGTAACAATTTATTAATTAATTTATGAATTAGTGATCTAATGTAAAAATTAATGAATTAGTGATGTAGTGTAAAAGTGCATTTAATTAAATTATGAATTAGTGATATATTGTAACAGTTTAGGAAATTAAATTATGAATTAGTGATGTAGTAACAATTTATGAATTAAATTATAAATTAGTGATGTAGTGTAACAATTTATTAATTAAACTATCAATTAGTGATGTACTGTAACAATGTATTAATTAAATTATGAATTAGTGATGTAGTGTAACAATTTATGAGTGGAAAATCCTTATAACATCATTTCCATAAAAAACATACCTGCTGTTTGTCGTGCACAGGAAACTGGATAACGGCTTCCCTGTTTTGAGCCCCGGTTTTCGAGCAGATGTACTGGACATGTTTTTTCACTGCCCCTGACAAAAAAAGTCAAATTTATTTGAACTATATGAAGTATCAAACCATTTTAATAGTAAAGTAAATTTAACATTTCTCATTGGCTAAAATAAAAAAGCCTATAAATATAATTAAAAAGCACACTGAATTACAGTGGAACACAGCTTTAAGACTATAATTGATTTGAATAAAATTTTATTGCATTAATAGCAGGGTTTAACAATATTCTGTTCTAATAGTTTTGAATATCTTTTTTAAAAGTAGGAAGATATGTGATTTCATTTTTATTTTAATTATTGTGGTTATTTAGTTATGTTATACCGGACAAGTATTAGTGGATTTTATTTTATTGCATTGTGCAAGAATACATACTTTTAATATTCTTTTTTCCTATACTTTGAAAAAAATAATTAATGTACTAATGAATATATGAATTTGCATTATAGTAGGGCATATTATAGAGGATTTCCCCTGTGCAAAAAATCAAAATATTACTTATCTACATTGTGAAAAATAATGCATTTTTATTTGAATTATCTATTAAGTAAACAATAAAATAATATTTGTTAAGCTTCAGTTACCATAGGTAATATTAAAAGTGAGGATAACATCTTTTGGTGCAAAGGGAAAGCTACTCAGTACAGAGTTGGTGGCAAAGGTTGCATTGTTGACCAAAACAAGATCTTTGGGATCACAACCTGCAGATTTAAATATCAAATAGTCATCAGAGTTGTTTAGAAGCTGTGCTCATTTATGACTGACGCATTTATGACACTAATTTCTGTTAAAGCTAAAAATAATATGACGATTTTTTAAGATTGCTATGGTAATTATATTTTAATGACAGTTTTACACTAGGTGAACCAATGATAAAATTCTGATTATTTTTAAAAATATGTTCAAGATCTACAAAGTGTTAAAAACCTGTACAAAAGAAGTAGCTTGCTAGCTCTCAAGAAAAGTATGATAATTGTGAAATGGCTTGGCTCAAATACACACTTCTCTACAAGTGCACATTGCTGTGGTGAAATGTGCACTTGGTTATATTTTAAATTTCATTTGGCTGTGGTACAATGACCACTTCGCTTTAGCAAAATCTGTGCATGACTCTAGTCAAATGTCCACTCAGCATTATTGAAATCTACTCAGTGGCTCTGGTCAAATGTTGACAACTTCTTACCAACAAACGCTGCCAGTCTTCTGCTGACGTGCACCAGTAGAGGGAGAAGTTGTCTGTCAAAAAACCTTAAAGGCTGTGACTCTGTATATCTCTGCCACATCTAGCAAATAACAAAAGTGTTCTCATTGTTGTTGAAACTGTAAAATTACAGCAATGACTAATAAATATTAAACATACTTGTATCAGACAATGTCAGCAATTATGTATTTTTCCTCTCCAGACATGTCCAAGTTATTGAAATAGTATTGATTGTTGTATTGTAGAAATGGATAAATAAATTATTAGTTTGCTGTTTCTTTTACTTAAATGCCAATTTAGTTTTTCAACAATTATTTGGCTACCAATTCATCAAGTTAGGCTGATAGTACTCATTGCTGTCATTTAAATTCCAAGTTTTACTTTAAAAATGTGGAGTATTCTTGTGGTACATATTTTTATATTAATATTATTATATTACTATATTATATTTTTATTATATTATTAAAGTTGCACATTTTTTTAATAAAAATTCTTCCATTTTTTAACATTTTCAACAAAAAATTATGTTTATTCACCTTTATGTTACCATTTCATTTTATTTTTACTTAATAAATTTGAACTTCTTACATGAACTGTGTCTAAGGCTTGTTTTAAAGCACCACCAAATGCTCCATGGTTCAAAAAGCAACAATTTTCCTGCAAAAAAATGTTAAATTTTATTAGAGTAATTTTGTAAAACTTTAGGCATACTTTAAATTTAAGTAACAAAAGTGTATAATTGTGCAAATAAAAAGAAAATAATAATTTTTTTTAAATTTTTAAACATCATTTTAGCTTTTAAATACTGTACCTCAAGTAGGAAAAACATTTCTTTGGATTTTTTTCCAAAATAGACATGGTTTAGTCCTTGAAATGAATAATTACTGAATGGTAAAGAAAATGGAATCTCAGGAGGAACATACTCTTGCTGTAAATAAACATTTTTTACATTTGTAAAACTATTGTGATGTTGAAATTATATTCCTTATCTTTTCTTTGTCAATAAATTGTATATTTATAAGAAATAGCTTGATTGAAACAAGTAAGAATAGATCAGTTATTGCACTCCTAAATTGAACTAATAAAGTTTTAAGCATTGTGTTTGCTACTTAAATTAGTTCCCTCACGCCACTTTTTTTTAAAATTCATGATCCACAAGGATAACTAGCAATTTTAACCTAGGCAAAAGATATCCTTAGTTACTAGAGTCTTTAAAAAGTTCTGATTATAATCAATAATCATGCCTTACATGTTTCTATAAGCTTTATTTCATTTAACTTGCTGGAGGGAATAAATTTATAGATTACCTCCGAAATTGAAAGCAATTCCTCTACATTAGAAGCATGAAATGAACCAAAGTCTCTTTTTGCCTGAAGATCCATATAGGATTTCTGTTGGCATATGGAAAGCACATACAATTATTTAGAAATGTATTTTATTTACACTATCCTAATTATATGTCTACAAGTGGTTGTTAAACAGGCTGTCATGTGTGCGATTTATGTTGGTAGATTCATACAGAATTTCTTTTGAACCAACGTGTAAACTGTGCAGGATACACCAAGTATTCAGCTGTCAGTAAAAATTATAAATTCATATTTTATAATACTTCAACCATTCATAATTTTGCATGCATTTTAAAATGTATATTTACGATCATGAATGAATTTATTACTGAAATTTTACCACCTTCACCCCTTTGTACATCGCATAAAGTGACAGATTTGCCTATTTTTTCAGTATCAGGGGGTACTCAAAGTCTTCTCAGCCAGGTCATTTCAGATGGCCTGCCGACAATTTCTAAAAAAATTAAATTATTTTTTTTTAAGTAGCATGTTTTCTCAACAAAACGCCTAAAATAAGGACGCTTTCTTCGATGAACTAGGAATAAGCCTACAATCCCCTGTAAAAATGGATGTGGTCTTGCCAATCGTCTTAAGGCAGTTCAACTGAAAATGATATGCTATCACTGCATCATTCATTAATCAGCTCTGTGTTCAAAACTGGGCAGTGTATTTGCAGAAGTGATTGCAATAGTTATGAAACTTATAAATTTCATGAGAAGCATTTCATCATAGAATCATCGTCTGTTTAAAATTTTATTAGCTGATTCATATGCAGGAAGTTGTGATTTGCTTCTACACAATGATTTAAGATGGCTAAGAAATGGAAGCGTTTTGGGGCAGTTTTAAATACTTTGTGATGATGTGGTTAAGTCTTTGAAAAGAAAACTGGAATTCTGCACAAATGTAGACAATATGGTAAATGCTGCATTTTTTGGTTGACATTACTGGCTATCTTATGGAGCTTAACATTTTGGCTACAAGATAAAAAAAAGACTGTCATGGGGTTTAACAGAAATGTCATTCCTTTCAAACAAAACTTGAACTCTTTGCAAAGGATTTTGATGAAATAAGATGTTCATTTTCATACAGTCAGTAACTACGTTACAAGTCTGTACATTCCTACTAAACTGTGTTAGTTAGATCAAGTTAGCTCAATGTTCAATTTATGTACAGAAAAAATTAAAAGGTGAGTTTTCAAGCAGATTTAAAAAGTATTAATTTCTGCTGCAGATCCATTTTTTGTAGTTCCTAATGGTGATTGGACAGCAACCGCTGCAACTAACGTTTTCATAATTAGTCAAGCTGCTTTTCAGCTTGAAGCTGCTGAAATCCAGGGAGAAGAACATATGAACTGAAGCTTCGTGACCATGACAGAGCAGGTTTTTTTGTGTGACAGCTGCAGAATTAGTATCCAACTATCAGGAGACTAGCAGTTGAAGTCTGGAAAACTAAATGTGAGTTTTGAGTAGTCAAAGTCAGTTTTATTTCTCACATTTACAACAGTGTAGAATTTCAGTACTAAAATTAGGTTAATGTTCACTGCATTTTACTATCATAGCTCTAACATGAAAAAAACTTTATCTAAAAATTTGACTTTGCAAAATTGTAATGTAAACTTTATGGACTTAGCGCCAAATTTACAAAAAAAAAATGATTTATGGTGTCCTATGGATGCTATTGCAACATATGCATTAATTCAACATGGGTTGCCTCATACCATGAGTCCTACCCTCTGATTTTCGGACTGAAAAGTTCAAGTAACCCTGATGTATGGCATAAAAATCAAGTGTTTAGAAAAACTAACCTGGCATGAGGTTTTTAAAAAAGGCAGTGTGTAAAATTTCTTTTAAATGGGACATTATAATAATTATTATTAATGTTTTACAAGCTAGATAAAATTATTAGGCAGTTACTATAAATATACAAGACTACAATCAACCTTTAAAAGTTCTTGTCTTTAACTATTTATATCATTTTTCTAGATATAGGCTAGAGTTTCTTTTCTACTGAAGGTGCAGTATGAGTAATGTTATGTGTAAATGAGTAAAGTAGGAAAATGTGTAGGCTAGTATAGCTAGTATGTTCTCACATCTACTACATCAGTTACAGGAGAAGTGTTGTGAGCAGCAAAAATCTGTCTACAGCTTATATTTAGATCTGGAAAAAAAGGCATTCAACTCTGTAAGCCAAAGCCAACCCTGGTGTCTTGCATATAATTGGTTGTCCCCCATGACTGCTTGCAATCATGCCATTCCACTAAAACATCCACCACAACACAGTCACTTTCAATGGCCCAGTCTCTTTGGGCTTTGGCATTCTCAGTCAGCATAATCATTGGAGAAAAGCATGGTCTGTGCTTGGACTATCACTCTTCAGAAGTCTTCTGAGTCTTCTCCATCTTCATCTCATGACCTTTTTTTAGTTTAAGTATGTCTTCAATGACTGCGAAGACTGGGTGTACATCCACACCAGATTTGGAGTCATTATTCATAATCATCAGTTCATTCATTTGATTCATAGTCTGCACTGTTACTGTTATTGTTGTAGTTGGGTAATTGTAATCATATAAAATTATTGAATGTAAATGTAGGTCATGGCCCAGCAGGCTTGAGAAGGCCTTGTAATAATAATAATCAATTACTATACAATCGCATTTGTGGTGTTATACAGTATGACGATAACCTTTATACCTCATAAAATAAAAATATTATTTTTAAGATAAATGAAGACCTGAAAATGATTCCCTTCTCGGGTTATTATTATTCTATTCTGCAGCTATCACTCCTCTGAAACATTGTGTGTCCAAAACTCGGAGTTGTTTACCAAGTATAATAAAAAATGTAGCACGATTAGAGCTACAGTTTTTTTTACAGATTAAAACGTTAGATTTTTTAAAAATAAATTAATTAATATCTAATCTTTAATTTACATATTTATAATAATATTAGAAAGGCTTACATTTAAATTATATTGAATTGTTCTCAATTTCTCTTTATGACATTTTAAGTTGCAATACAGTTTGTTTCAATCAACAAAAACAAAAAAATTCAAGGGGAAGTAAAACTATTCAATAAGCCCTGTTATCTGTCCTGTGACAGTTTTAATATCTCTGTATCGTAATTTGATTCTAAACTCTTTACTTTACACTCCTATTTGTTGAAGAAGATGAGGCCCATAAGGGCTGTTTACACGTGGACATCGTCTTTTCCTAAATAACTAATTTTCAGGGCATAATCGTCAGTTACAAATAAATAGTCGAAAAGTTAGTTGATGTTTTACTATTTTCTAGACCGTACAGACTACAGACTACAGACCTATCAGTTATCAGCCCATCACTAGCGCAAGTCTATTAATATTAAATTGAGTGAGTTACAGTTAGTCTATTGATGTTTCTGTTATTTGTGTAAGTATTACTAAGTATTAGTATGACAATTTATTAATAGTATATTCAAAATTAATTAATTTAAAATTACTTTTAGCTGCATTTACATAATTTACCATGGCATGACATGTTATAAAAAATATATTTTCATCATTGGTCCAATGACTATACTATGACCAATGTCCAATGATTGTTCAATGTATACTCACTCATTTTTACTTACTAAGTTATTTTCATATATTTATTTTACTTATGGTGTGACTATGACTGCTTCCATTTTGGGATAGCACGCAAAATATTATTCCCGATAACTAGCTAAATTTTTTTTTTTTTTAAATAACTCAACTGCGTTTGGTGCGTAATATTTTCTTTTTGGAAAATGAAATCGTCTCAATTTAAAGTGTAATTGTAATAAATATTCGGTTTAAAAGTGGTTGGGACATCAGAATATATTTATTTCCAGTATAGTTCATGGCCATGGTCGTGAAATAAAAAGTGTATAGTGAAGTATCATAGGCATAGGGTAAGGCTAAGGCGTTTAGCCAGTGTAGCAAAAAATTAGATTCTTTTATGTGCGTTACTTGATTTCATGATTTGTCAAATAACTTTAGTAGATTGAAAGTTCACGCATTGCTGATTGCTGTTAGTAACATACTTATATATCATTATATATAAATTATAATATTATGACTAGCAATAAACCGCCAAACAATGGCAGCTGCAATGCATGAACTTCCCATCTATTTAAGTTTCTTGATATAACATGCATTTAAGTAAGGCCGTGCCGTAAACTTTAAAGTACTTTCTAAAATTCTCATATTATAACTCATACTCATAGTGCTAACTCCCCTCTTCCAGCCCCCCCCCCTCACCCCGTACGGCAACGCCCCTGAACTATATTAATATTCTAATATCCCAGCCCCTTTTGCAAAGCAGATTTAGTACTCCAACTATTTCCATAAAACAAAAGATAATATGACGCACCACACACACTTTCTGTATTTTAGAATCTTATGGAATTTGATTTAGTGAAATCTGTGCCATCTTGTAGCATTGGTGACATTGTCACATAGAGAATTATGTATTTTGAAACTAACTAAGCACTTCATGGTTATACTTATAATATATAAAATATAGTGATACTTCTTATAATCATCCTACAATAAAGATCATAGAGGGAATATAAAATTCACACAAAACTGTTACAATGAAACATGAAAAAATATTAAACAAAACTGCTGACCGATAATTAATCAAATCTACCAGAAAATTGTTTCTAATGAAATATCTAATAACTTCTAAAACTTTAGGGAATGAAGTTAATAGGAAATGAAAAAAAAAATATTTTTTTTAAAGTAAGTGAAATTGGAGGGAAACTGAAGATTACTGTAATATGGAGAGGACTGTGTAGGTTAGGGAATTGTTAAAAAAAAAGATGAAGTGTAACCATAAAGGAAGTGATTGATTGTAAAAAGTAAGGGGCGTAGAAAGAGTTAGCAATTAATATAGTAGACAGACTATTTTCATTGTCATGGCTACTGTCAAATGATGGGCAAGCATTAAAACACTGATATTTATGTTTATTTAACTGCTAAAGTGAAGTATTATTTTGTTAAAGAATTGACTCTCTTGTTCTTTTTTTTTTTATTGTTTGCACTTGCATTCAGACACGTTAAGTCATTTACAAAGACATGTTATTTCAGTCACATTATTTTGTCTGTACTTTTTTTTATGTGCTTTCCAAGTAGTTTTTAATGGTTTTCCTTTGAAAACTGAACACTTTAGATAATTAGTTTTAAAATATATTTCAAATAATGCAGATTTCAGAGGAAATCAACAAAAAAGATGCTAACTCAAATATTATGTCTTTTTCATGTTATGTCGGTTACAATTACAAAATTTATTATTTTTATTAGTATGCTTAATATATATATTTATAAATGCTATTTCTCTACAGTCTACCATCTTAAGACCCAAACCAAGTATAGTTATATTAAGCACACTTGATGCCATTTTTCATTTATACTGGATGCAAATTGAAATTATTTTTCTGACAGTTACTTCAGTTACCATGGAATTCAGCTATACTATTTGATTTGAATTTTGGTAATTATGAATAATGATTAGAAACAAAAATTAGTAGCAGTTACAACAGGCCTATGGCTACTGCTGAACTATTAGCCTATAGTATAGGCTATAGTTAAGTAGAGCCATAATTGTAAGTGTGCAGAATAATTTAATAATTTAGGGACAGTTATTTCATTTAATAGGAATTCTAAATTCAGCGGTAAATTTTTGTTTCCCCACAAACCCTGGGTGAAACTTATTTTATGCAGCCTTAAACTAATTGAATTTTTTTTTAAATGGTTATCACCATAAAGTAAAATACTCATAGTCATAGCAAAATTCTTTGAAATCTACAGTTTTTAACATAGCTCAGTAGCAAAGATGTTTGGAGAATATGCACAAATAGCAACCTATTTACAGCAGACACGAGATGAAGCAATTTACAATGAGAATAATTTCCAAGGATCCTTGCCAGCATATCTTTGCCCACCTTATGTTCCTCCACAACCATGGAACAATGGAAAAAACAGGCACAGCCAGTTTGAAGATTTTATTATGGTAGCGGAATTCTCTGAGCTGGAAGGCCCAAAACCTGTGGTAAATATAGCTGTTATAATTCTATATCGTTAAAATTAATAGACATGATTTTATTTACTTTTTATCCTGTAATGCAACATTGACATAGATTTTCTTCTATATATAGCCATTTTTATCCTATAAGTTATAAACCGTATGAATAGAGGACCAAGAATATGATGTAGGAGAGTTCCTCCTGAAGCATATGGGGATAACAATAACAGGATGTTGCAAAGTTTAAAAGTTCTTTGACAAAGGGGCATAGGAATAATTTAAGGAACACTTAAATAACTCTGAGCCACAAAAATATATATAGAGAAACACCCACTCAAACAATAGAGCAACAAAAGATCCATAGGGAGACAAACTAAATACTGGTATGAATGTAAAGTCAAACAAGTCACATATATTTAGTTTTGTTTGATTTGAATTTTTTTTTCCAGATATTTTCCATTTATTTAAAAAACTCTAAAAATCATAGGTTTTATGTGTTAGGGAGGACACATTTACTTTGACCATGTGCTGACACTGGATAAAGCTAAAATATATTTTTATTAACAGCTGACTATTCCCAAAGATGGAGGAGCAAACTTTGATCAAAATACTTTCGCTGTGAGGATACTTGCTGTTGACCACCAGAATTCAGCTGAGTAAGTTGCTAAACATCAAAAGTGATTTAATCTGATATCAGTTGACTTATCAGAGCACTAAAAAATTTGCTGTGCATAATGAACAAAGAAAAAATAAAAGATAAAGAAAAGAAATGTTTTCCATCTTGGGTTGGGGGGGGGGGGCAAAGTTTAAAAAAAAGGGAAAGCTATTTTGGGGTGGGATCTTTTTAAAGAAAAGAAATGTTTTCCATCTTGGGTTGGGGGGGGGGGGCTAAGTTTAAAATAAAGGGTAAGCTATTTTTGAGTTGGATCTTTTTATTAGCCTATGAAACTGGCTGAAATTTGATTAAATGACATTTTGTTTGACTTTTTATATTCAACCTAATATTGCTGTTTCAGAATGACTACAACAGAGTACATGCTCTTATAACGAGCATAATTCGTTCCAGAATCTTACTCGTTAAGCTAAACACTCGTTAAACGAAACAATTTTTCCCATACAAATCAATGTAAAATACGATAATGCATTCCATGCTGAAAAAATACTAATTTTTCAAAAGAATTTATTAACATTTATTCAAATAAAATTATTTATGAATTGTTAAGGAGTGTAACAACTTGGAATACAATTTAGATTTGAAAAAAAAAATGTAAATAAAAATATGAATTTATTACAAATAATTAATCCTTTTTAACTAGAAAACTGTCTAAAGACATTTGTTTTTGCAGACGCTTCAAAATTTGACGAAAATGTGTCACAGCATTATCATTGAATATCTTTGTAGCACGAATAGCCATCTCCTTATTAGGGTGATGCTTCTCAATGTAGGATGCAACAGTTTCCCATGCTTTCAGCATTTCTCTTATTGCGCTAGAAGATTTTTGCTCTGCTACTTCCTCCTCCATTAATGAGCTCTCCTCCATAATTTCTTGCTGTGAAACACAATGCAACTCCATAAGCTCTTCGGTGGTCAACTCTTGACTGTGCTCTTTCACAAGCTCTTCAATATCGTTGTTGTCCACCTCGAGTCCCATGATCTTGGCCAATGACACAATCTCGTTAACTGTAGACTCCACAGGTACTGTTTCAAAATCACATTCAACAACACTCTCTGGCGAAAGTTTTTTCCAAGCAGAAGTGAGGGTCCTCTTGGTAACTCCTTCCCATGCCTTGTCAATTATCTT